ACTTTTAACAAAAACACATGGCTTTGTCTGTGATATCATTATTTCAGCGATTTAATCAGTTTAAAAAAGTTAGACAAACGTAAAAACAGCGAATAACAACAACCACCATTGCCAAAAGCGCTAGTTGTGCATTTTGGCATCGTTGTGGCATGTTGTTAGTACTTTATAATGTTGAAACCATGTACACATAAACAATTCCCGAAACGAAATACGCATTTATACAAATGTACAAAAAACTATTCTTAAAACAAATAGTGCAAGAAATTCAAAGACGTTTTAATAGTCGTTGAGGGTATTTGACTTTGAAATGATATCCTCAAGTTATTTAGCGTTGCCAAACATGCATATATTTCTCATATAATGAGGAACAATATTTTGCCATAACTTTCGTAGAATGAAGTGATTTCAACCGAGAGCGATGGCGGTTCGCATAGTATGGCTAACTATAACGCATTTCCTTGTGTAGTAGTAATATAAGTATGATTTTCATAATAAACCCATTTAATTCAGCTTCGAAAAACCTGTAGTTGAATAGCGCTGCGATCTGGGCCCCGTTTCTCGAAATCTAAACTAAAGATAAAATCCAAATTTTAGTAGATAATTATATCCAATCAAATTACTAAACTTTGGATTTTATCTGAGTTAAAATTTCGTGACACATGCCCCAGGACACTACGTGACGTATGCCTCTGCTTCAACTGTAGCTCAGTTGGTTCATCAAAGTAAGATGTCAAACTCCATTTCATTTCCTAATGTATCAGTAAGTGCGATTTTCAGAATGAACCCACTTCGGAGTCTGTCAAAGGTTCTTGATTGGCGGCTAAATGTAGATTTCATTTATCTGTGCTTCCGTTACAGAAGAAATTCCGATTGATGGCTTGATTCAGTCTCGACAAAAAAAGTTATCTTGTAGAAGCTAATGTGTCATAAAATGCGGGGTTTGTCTGATGAAGTGAGGCAATATGATCGCAAAATTACAACATTAGAGATAATATTATAAAGTTGACGAATATTTCAATAATATTTGTGTTCTACTTACATTTTGTTGATATTTTTAGAATGCAACCCCATGGAGTAAAACATAAAATATTACAGATTCTTCTATCTTACATTTCTCAAATACTCAAGTTCTTTTTATTAGTTGGCCTGAAAGATGACTGGCGCTTGTTTATAGAAAATAAAGTTACCGTGATATAAACAAGGGATGTTATTCAAGTTGGCAGCATGTACCAGAGCTAGGAGTCATGCAATTTCCAAATTAATCTGCATATTTAAGTTAACAATTAATATGGTTGAAATCTAATTAAAGACGATAAATTATTCTGACTCTCATCTGAAAAAAAAAACCCTTATAAATTTAATTGAATATCATGAAATGAATATTATGAACAAACTTTATTTGTTAAAAAAGGGTGGAAATGGTTCAAAGGCCATTTATTTAATGCTGTCCAAATTTTTTGCCAAAAAGTATTAATCGAATTTTACTATCATGTATTTCCGTATGTGTTATTGGAATTAAACATAATTATTCGTGAGATACAGCCAGCCCTAATGTATCAATGTCAGATTATTGGAATTTAATGCACAACTTCCTCTGTTACCATTATTCAAACATGGCCATGGCACTGCCTGATTTTGATTAACGATCCGTTACTTCAGAGAGTTGCACCTTGTGCTGTATATTATACTTGGCACATTATGATAAATTACATCCACAAGAATGATGTCAGTCACGGCAACCGTTCAAAGCTTCTCTAGTTTTTTTTTTCTCTCCTGAAAATGAATTCCATAATTTTGATTTATGGTATTGTGTTATTTTTGTATGCTTTGTGCGTGTTACATGAAATAAAGTGATTATTATGTGTGACATATTCGTAATGAGAAGCATACCGGTTCAAGGATTAAAAGGAGTGAATAATCTAAATTGCTTTGAAGTTAAACCAAGTTTTTTTTTTCAATTTATTATCCTGTTCTGAAAAAAAGAAATTTGACGCTTATGACTTTTGTGTGCCTATATAGGTGATATATTGTGACATTTTTACTCTATGGGCTAGAAGAACAGTAATATGGATGGTAATGTAACGATAAGTTTAGATATTTAGAGTATTTACACTTAGCCAAACAGCGAGCTTACAGCATTAAATTTGGAAAATTGAATATGGTTCCACTACACTAGTGATTCCCAACGTGGGGCCAGGGGGCAATTTGAATATTTAGGAGGGCAATTTGAAAATGATGTCAATAAGAAAAAACTTCAGTATTCCATTATCACTTTTACACCAAAGCAACTTTTGGTACAAATTACTGTCAGAAACGCCTGTCTCCCTTCCTCCATATATTATCGTGCACTTTGAAGAAGAAGGTTTAACCCTATTAACTGCTTTGTCTTTGAATTTGTAAATTTCCAAGATGTCGCCGATAACGTGATGCTTGGTTCCTGGTATACTCGTACTTTTTGGTTTTAGAAACAAGTTGTTTGGGAATGTCAAGTACTAATACACTATAAGTTTTGTATTACATTTATGGATGTATACTTTCATTGTCCTTTAGGATCGATAAAAAAGTGGTGGCCGTGTCAGGTGTTCTAAAATGAATAAAGAATAAACATACCCTGCTTGGTGCACGATGCCACACCTACTTATAGATAATCTCAGAAATACCTACTTGTTTGAAACAAAGTATTATTATGATGTTAGGTGTTAGGAAATGTCGCCAATGAGCGGTATACTTTTATCACTTATTCGCAATGTCCCTTTAAGAAATAGGTTAAAATATGTTAGGCAAGCTTGTCGCGTGCTGTAAATTAATATATTTGTGTTGAAAGACGTTGATTTCCTGTGAGACCTAATCCAACTTTTCATCACTATGATAAAACTATTAACTACGCCATTAAGCATTACTTCTACACATCAACCTATACAGAAAACAGACAATTTTAAAACATCCATATTTAACACTCACTAGGGTGAGATTGCTATGAATGCAAACAGCCAGTAAACATTGAAATTCGATGAAAAATACAAAGCCGGAATGTAGATGTTAGAAATTAAACGTACAAAGTCCAACCAATAGATTAAAACCCAAGAGCAGTATACCGGGTTAATATTTCAAGTAATGCCCGCTCAAAGATGCACTTTGTAAGAATGAGATACAGAGCTGGTAGTTTGAAATAAATAATGAAAATGGAATATATTGAAAATTTCAGTCAAATTACTTTATTCTGAGCAAAGTTATGAAAGTTGGAAGTTTTAATAGCAATAGCGTAGTCTCGATTAAACAAAGTCTCGATTATATATTTTTAAATTAAGTTAATAAATGGCAATCGTGTTGCAATCCATTAAAAATCAGGACCATCCGATGCTCTAGCGAGTAGATTATGGGATTGTCATGTGAATCAATGTCTGATTAATAATTTATATAACATATTATAACGTGTTGCAATCCATTGAAAATCAGGACCATCCGATGCTCTAGAGAGTAGATTATGGGCTTGTCATGTGAATCAATGTCTGATTAATAATTTATGTAACATTTGTGGCAGATATAGTTATTACATAATATGCCTTTAAGTGTTGTATTTTAATACTGTTTGTTTCGCTGTTTGTTAAGATTCGCGCACATTAGCATTTTTTTTCGCTTAACAAAAGTACTTTTGCGCTAGCGTTATTTTTGGAAGGATGACCACAAAATGTTAAAAATACCCAGCGCTCGAGTAAAGACTATTTTGGAACGTCCATACGGGTAGTGGGGATTTCGGTCTATATTAGATTACTTTGGTATATGCAATTTGTATTTCACGGGACATTCAGTTTGATACTTTGACAGCGTAGTTCCAAACGAAATCGTGGTGGTAGTTTGTAATTGTATTAAAGTTATGTCGACTATAATAAGGTAGATTGTAGGATGTCTGGTACCATTCACTATACATTATAACATACACTGTTCGTATTTGGTTGTTTATTACCAATAACTATCCGTTCACCTTCAAAAACCAGTTCAAGGGCGCGGACGTTGATGACCGAGTCTTCTTGTTAAAAATTATACTGAATATTTCATAAAAATAGAAAATAGGGGAGGAGACAATTATTAAATAACGTATATTAATTAGACGCCAGGGGCCAGAGAAAAGTTCCTTAACCAGTTACTCCATTGTAACCCGTCATCAGTGTGTTGAACATGATTTGTAAAAGATTTAATCTCAGATCCTTTGCCATTATTAACAAAAGAAAAATCGAAAAAAAAAACATCAACGAAAAACTTTATTCAATTTTAACTCCTTTAAAATCATAAAAGAATAAATGCCCGCATCGATTCGAGTTGCGTCCGTTGCCAGATAAATGTCACTCCAAACTGATTAATACCATGATCAGTATCCCCACATCAACCATCAAATTTACTCAAAACGTTTCAAGACTCTAGGTTATCTCTATAATGCGATTTTATCAATAATGTTTTTTTATGAATCTATAATCGTTTAGATGATTAGAAGTGACATGAAAAACGATTAATTCTTAACATTAACGCGTTAACATTAACTTGACCTTTTGTAACGATTTTCCGAGAAATGGGATATCAAAGACATGATACATTTTCTAGACCAAAAGCATTTCGTTTCTGACCAAAGAAAAACAATTTGTTTTTTATACATACTTCAGAACAATCTAAGACATTTTACTTCGTTTCGTTTAAAAATATATATAATCACCAAAAAGATATACCGACGATCTCGTTTCACATTAAACCTAAAAAACGACGGAGACGTTAAATCGTTAGATCACGAACTGAAAAGATTTATTCTGGATTTTTTGAAGGCGTCGTGAAAGGACCAATTTCTTGATCCGAACGGTCGCTCAAATATACTCGCGATTCATTAAGTTTTATTGACTGCTTGTCAAAGGTTAGGAATGCGCTTCGTGTAAACAGTTTTTATCGTTCAAATAGGCTGGTGGAGGATTCGTTAATCCAATCTCTAAAAGCAAATCGCTTATAATAGAGACGTAGAGAGTGGGAGATGCAGATTAGTTCTCTCTGGCTTTACTTCTATCCAATCGATCTTCCACTAGTCGATTAAAGGACCTTGCTTAAATTTGATGGTCGTCTAATGATTCCTTGTCAAACACTGACTGCCTGTTAGCTGGAGGATGTGTACGTGTTAGAGAAACGGGTGGGAGATAAATTCACTACAGGAGACGCAGTGTATATATATATACGAACCGATGTCGATCGATGAGTGGAAGTTTTAGGGTCGTGTAAACAAAAACACTGTGCACTAGTCCTAAATAACAGTCCGTCTATGGTTGAGATTTCAGCTCGTGTGTAGACATTACAGTTGGTTGTTCGTTGTCGAATTTTATACAAACCGGTCTGTGTTTCGAGTTACCTTGTATTGAAGCGGTAATGCTCCAATTTACTGTACAGACTACAGCTCTCTTAGATTTCACGTGCACATCTGGGAGTTATTTACCTTAGATGTAATATATAAGACCGCTATCCTTTCGGAGCCATGTTATACTTAATTGACCGTATCAGCGAAACCCATCGATGTTTTATACGGTTAATTACTTTCTTTAAGTATGTGATTATCGATTCTACTCTTATCCTACATTGATAATGGATTAAGAAACTGTCAATATGGAGGTATTAATGCAGGTATGTCGAAAAAAAGTTATTGTTTTTATTTCTCCAGAAATGGGACGTTTTGATGTTGTTTTTCAGAAATAGGACGTTTTGATGGGTTTTTTTTTTCATAAATGGGACGTTTTGATTTTTGTTTTCAGAAATAGGACGTTTTGAGGTTGTATATATTTTTTATATACAGTATTTATATATTTCTTTACCTTCCTTGTTTTATTTGTTATTCTGAAGATCACGTTCTAAAGTTAGGAGAGAATGTGGCTGGGGTTAAGGCGAGCACACGTAACAAATATTTAAAAATCAAAACACAGAGAGGTCAGCCGAATAAAGTGTTGAGTAAAGAAATTTATTTCACGCAGTACGATAAAACTTAATGAGATTCGACTTTTATCGCACTAAAGAGTAACAATAAATCCTGTTGAAAAGACGTTGCTATGTTTAACACTAACTACGCCACTGCTGGATATGGTAGGTTTGATTTCACTTTTAGATCGAAATCTGTTTTAGATACGACATTCATTGCTTTATGACAACACCAACAATTAATGTTTTTGAAACTACCTTGCTTCTCATATATTATATTTTCGTTAGTGAAAATGGGTATCTTAAATTTAAGTCTCTTCCAACACAATTGATTCTTTTGTTGAATTGACCAGACCTTACTTAGACCCTGAGTTGCTATGACAAATTTGTGCATGATTGGGCTTAGAGATAGTTTATTATTTCAATAATCAGGATCTGCACATTTCTTGTCCGCATCTGTGTGTGAAGATTGTGTCGCGGAGTACATAACATTCTGATCGAAAACACACATAGGAGTAAATAACTGTTTCTACACAAAACACACGATTTCAACATATTCAAACAGTCGCTTGTTTTAAACGATCTAAAGAAATAACGAACTAAATGTAAGCAAGACTTGCCAATAGAATTTCTCAGACGAATATATTTTTTTCTCTATCGTTTCAGGTTTATTTGCGGTATAAGAGTAGCTGAGATCCAACAACAAAGAAATTGTTCTCGAGAAAACGACCTCATTTATTTTCATACAACATGTGTTTAAAATTGAAGTAAGTAAAAAATATATGTTTAAACATCAGGCTTGTGTAAAACCAATATAATGATCAAAGACTGCCATTGATGAAATATCCACTTGACCTATCGACAATCGTATTGGAGCATCGTCGTTACTAGTATAAACATTAGAATGGTCAATGGACGTTGAATCACAACTCATGTCTGAAAAAAGCATTTCAGACTCTACATGTATATAACCCATAAGTTAATTTGAAATTTTATTGCGAGTAGAGACAGATTCATAATTTGTTTGGGTATTTTTAATATCGTATTGGATATCTTACATTCTGATTCAAAAATATGAATTGGCATTAAATCACGCTATTCATGGGTGTTTCTTAATAAAGGTTCCCGTTTTTAAAGAGTTATAATCATAAATATAGCACAGATAAGCACCTTTATAATGACATAAATAAACAAATGTTGCAGCCAAAGTTACCATTGTGATATGCCACTCGTAACACGATCAATCATGACTGAATCTGTTAATGATTTTGGGGATATCGCCTTTCTGGTGTATACTTCAGACTGGTTCCACCGGCTTATTGGGGCACGATGTTATCCATTGGACATTGTATTTTTACTGGGGCGATAGGTTAGGATCGGTTTTGCATGATTTTTATTTATAGTTTGTGAAAGAGAAAAGGTCAAGGATCTCTTTAAACAACCGTACGTCATCAGACTGGCTTAGGAACTTCTGGAGACAGAGTGCAAAGTAATAATGAAAGTATTCGACACATTATCGAGACATTCGAGTATTATTTTGTCTAGTTTATGGCAGTACTTGATGGACATACTAACGATTTAACATCAGTGCCCATTAAGATTCTCCACTGATGCGAGGGATGCTAACGATGAGTTAGAATTCCTGTCTCTCATATCTTATACAGGTTCAGAACGGCGACTTTCAAAGGAAAAAATGGCGGCTCTTTACACCGGAGATGGTAATACAAGTGGTATAAATCGTGAACTGTTGTCAGATGTAAATATCATCTGGTAATGATAACACTAATAGATAAACCTTGCTGTCAGTGCCGTAGATTAGCGTATTGTATATCTTACACATCTTACCCTATCTACATAAAGGGAGTTAAAAACGTATTGGCATTCCGAACATACAAAAACGGGAAAGAGTGGTGTGAAAAAAAGATAGACTGAAAATGTTTGGATATTCGCTTTGTTAAAAAAACAAAATAAGTGTTAGTGTTCTCCAAATAAATAGATATACGTTCGTGCGAGGGGTATATAAATCTATTACCAGCAATACGATAGACACGTCTTTTTACAAATGTTTAATAAGCCTACTTTATTTTACTATACTGATGGGGAGTGGGGTGGGGCGCTTTAGTTTGCAAGGTCTGTCATGGGTCAAGTGGCGTGGTTTCGACTTCTTGCTTTTATACGAGCAGGATTGCGTTAATCTCGTGGGTTTTTTCCGGGTCCGCCGGCCCAAGCGCGCGAGTTATTGGAATAAAATTGAACTATATGTTGTCCCCGAAATAATCTAGTTTGTGTCAAGTTAACACAAATTGAACAAAATATCTCAATTTGATATTACGGGGATATTTGATGACTCAGTGACTAAGACGTTGGCTCGCTAACCTGGAGGTCCCGTATTCGATCTCTGCGTTAATTGAATTGACCGAGAAAGTTCATGGGGATTTCCCGGCGTGCCCCCCCCCCCTTGTTAGTGGTGCAGGACGGAAAGTCTGGCAAGGGACAGCGTATGGTCGTTCGGATGGCACGAAAAACCGAGGTCCTGTTAACACATTGGCATGCACGTAAAAGAACCCTTGGTAGTTGGAATTCGATATAAGAGAATGCCGTAGCGCCGCTGTGCGGGCCAAATTTTCCTCATAGCAATTTGTATGGCGTATGTCGGTCTTCATCAGCCCAGTCGAAACAGAACAATAGGACGTTAAACCCCATTTCATTTCCGACTATTTCCCTGTTGTTTCTGCCCTTTTATACAATCTCTCATCTCAAATATCATCGTTAATTTGTTTCTAAAACATATGGAGAACACAGCGTATAAGTATATTTATCAAAATTTTATTATTTTGGGGAAAATACCCGTGCCGTTATAATACAGCAAATCATCTTTCACTCAGAAACTACAGAGATTTGTCCGCTTAAAACCGTACGGATGGACGAGAACGACACCGCGTATCAAATTAAGGAATTATCTGTCTTAGCGAGGATGAGACTCCACATTCCTCATTGATTAGGTTGGCTTTATTATACCGATGGAAACATCCCTTGCGGCGTTCAGCTTATAAGGAGACGCCAGATGTGAAATTAGATTCGTTCACGACACAAGAGAAAATGATCAAATTTCTCGACTTAATTCTAAAACCGTAAAATCTAATTATTTTCCTCGCTAAAAATCTTTTAGATCGACTCTACAAAGGGTACTCTTTATTCACAGCAATAGCCTTGAGAAATTCTCGTATCACCTTCCCATCATGCATTATATAATACGGCTAGCTAATTTAATACTCGAGTAATAAATAGATAGAAATGTCGATCATCATATCTGTTTACAATAATATGTTTGAATTGTGTGTAATAAAGTGTTTCGTTCAATCGTAGGAGAACCCCTTCTATACCGATATCCTAATATCCATGAATATAGTCCACAAGTAACCTTCTAGCAATAATAATCGATGTTCCGAACGGAAATAATAAAATTCTTTATGAGCTCCACTTGCCAATATATGAAACTAAATAGGAAAGTTATACCAGTGAATAGTTATGAATGGTGCTTCTAGCGATAATATGTAAATACTGGATATGAGAAAAACTGACCCCCGCCCCAGTCCCCAACCCACCTCCTTATCTATCCGAAAGATTTAAAGGGAAACGTTTGTATGCTATGTCTTCTAATAATGTAAACGTTTCGTAAATGTTTATTTCTGCCCCCTCGTTGACAATAGTATATACTCTTCAAAAAAAGTAGGGGATACTCAGAAACAATACAAAACTGCGGAAATGCACTGCCGTTTTTATTAGAGGTAACCAGTGTATGTTAATAACAGACCAATTGCCTACACATGAACATAAACGGTTCATATGGGCGGCTTATCTGACGACCCCATTCTACTCATAAAGATATACACCGTCAAAAGTGAAAATGGACGTTTTTGATTTTTGTCTTAATAACGAGTAATTGCTCCACCAATCCTCAGACATTCAGCAATTCGTCGTGACATGCTCCTAATCAACCGTCCAATCACAATTTGGGACAATCTGACCCACCCCTCTTGCAGTGCCACGGCCAATTTTTGCAGTATTGTCCGTTGACGTTGACGTCGACCAACACGTCCCCCGATCAAATTAAGCGTAACACACTAAAGCAAAAATACGCTGAACAGTAAATCTTATGCAAGAACCGATAGGAAAGCAAACATGGATAGATAAACCAGCACGCGGCAGTTTTCATCAACCCTTCCTTGAATATGTCGCTATTGCGTGTCGCATGTACAGCTCAGCGGTTCTGTTGGGGCGATAAGTTCTTCATCTGTGAACATACTCTCGAAGCACGTCAAATGTCCATGGCTATTTATCATATCGCAACCTGCATAGGTATTTTCATTCCAATATCCCCTACTTTTTATACGCCCACATTTTCATGTGGACGTATTATGCCGTCGCCCCTGTCCGTCCGGACGTCCGTCCGTCCACAATTTGTTTGTGGACACTCTACAGGTCACAATTCTTATCCGATTTTGACGAAACTTGAAATATAGGTTTATCTCCAAAAGATCTCGGTTCCTTTCGATATTGGCATGTATCGGATCGAAACTTCATGGATTATGGCCCCTGTTTGTACGAAAAATCACGTTTTTAGCTTGTGGACACTATAGAGGTCACAATTTTTATCCGATTTTCTTGAAACTTGAAATCTAAGTTGATAATCCAAAGATCTCGGTTCCTTGCGATATTCGCGCATATCGGACCGTAACTTCCTGAATTATGGCCCTTGATTGTAGGAAAAATCACTTTCTTGTTAGCTTGTTCTCTATCCATCTCTCGAAAATGTGGGCGTATCCTGCCTGGCAGCCGCTGGTTTTGAAGAGTATATAATAAAAAAAACGGCTCAAATTTCATTTTGTATGTAGTGTCTAAAAACGAGTCATTTCGATGGGACAAAACCCGAGGACCCATGTATACTTTGGCGTGCACGTAAATGAAACCATGACAGAATTTGAAATGAGAATAGACCATAACCCCGCTGTCCGGCAAAATGTCGCCCATAGCACACTGCATGACGCATGCCCGTCTTCATTAGCCCAGTCGGGGCAGAATAGTACGACGTTAATCCCCATTTCATTTTATTTGTCTAAATGCCACTCAACGTTACTCGCCAGACGATATGATATAGATATACCAATCTATACATCTAACAGTGATAAAAATGCTGTACTGCAGCTGAATTGATGAAATATTGATAAAACTGCCAGTTCTTTCAATCTTACATTAATCTAGGAATATGACATAAACAGAAGTAAAGATCAATGAAAACATACTTAAAATATACGTTAATAAGAAAATAAAAATAGTTTTTATCTGGGCACCTCTCAGGTCTTTATGAAAGGTATTTAACTTTAAACCTTCTTTGAAGAGGGTGGGGTAAGGGTTAGTGTCATAGTGATCTAGGGTGTCGCGCTTCGAGCTCCCGCGGACCGGACACCTCTGGGTCGTGGTTTCGATACCTGGTGTGAGGGTATGTGACTTGGAGATGCGGACGCCTTCTCTGGTGTCTTCACTCAGGAAAGGCCCCTGCGCGTGCGCTAAGATAATAAAAAATACGGTCGTGGTTTCAATCCCTGGTGTGAGCGTATGTGGCTTAGAGACGCGGGCCTCTTCTCCTGCCCCCCCCCCCACACACACACAGGAAAGACTCCTGCGCGTGCGCATATGATAGAAAATAATAAGGCATGTCTGCGATATCACCCTGCGGACCTTGAAATTGACACAAGTGGGTCGGAACTCATATAATACTGTAATATGAATGTATATAAACTGATATACATTCAATGGTTTCCGTTTTTACTCTAATTTCAAATCAGTTATGTTCCGCGAAATAAGCCATCAGTCTCAATCGAATGCAAATTTCTAGCGCCTGGTTATTCCAGTCTACATACGCCGTTTGGTTTGGTGCAATATGTCTAGCCTCGTTCCTCGAGTCTCTTGCTAGAATTGGGGCTGAAACGCATTATGGTACACGATTCGCGTACCAAGGGTAAAATGGTTTTTTTGTCTTAAATATTGGATATCAGAAGCCCATCCTTTTCCGGTAAGATCACAGCATCAATGTTGATTTAAATTGACAAATACTTTGTGTTTTCAATGTTGAAGATTTTGGATGATATTGACTTAGAGACTTAGCTACTTTAAACACTACGAAGGACAACAACACCTTCTTAAATATGTCATTGTATTTTATAGTTTCTGGATCCGAGGTATTTTGTTTATGAGCAGTAACGTCTTTTAATGACAATGTAAACAGTAAATTATTGTAAATATAAACAGCGAAGAAAACAATGTGAATAATTGGATTTTAAACATAAGAGTGGAGGGACGTCTGTGCACCGAAAGTTTCGTATTGAATTACTTCTGCTATACTGTTGGATTATTTCCCGAATTTTATACAATATTATATAATTATTTACCACCGGATGGCGCCAATAGGTCCAATTCTATTAGAAAGATGGTGCATAGTTTCATAATGTTACGTTTTATATTGTAATTCTATATTATCTCCTGTATATTCAAATTGGCGACATTGTCGTATTCATCTGTACATTGATTGTATTATAGGAAGCAACATCTTCTTCGCTGAAATGCCATGTCAATATACCCAAATCTGTGACATTCATAATATCAATATCAATATCTAGAATTGAGAGAGAGAGAGAGAGAGAGAGAGAGAGCATTATATGTATTCTATTAATATCTATTTGTTTGTATATTTTGTAGGTAATACAGGGAAGCTTCTGTTATATACCAGTATTCTTATCAAGTTAAGCGTGTGATATACAGACCGTTTGTGTTACATATCAAATACAAACATATTGAATAAAGGTGTACGTGTGGTTATATTTGATATAAACCACCTTTCTTATTATGATGACTAAACAGAATATTACATAACTTCATGATGGGAAATTATTTCGCCTGATTATTCATACATGGTGTATAAATTAAATGAATAATTTATGAGCTAACAGTTATATGTTTATAAATCAAAGAAAAATGGTATCGGTGCCGAGTAAAAAATGATACATAAGCATTCCAGACGGAATATACCGGTATTCTTATCTTTGATAGAAGCAGGGTTCCTAGCAATGCGATGATATATATGCCTCGTGATTAGCCGTATAGTCTACGAATATACATATAGTACCGCGAACTTTCCCTTTCTGATGTTATATAAGTCAAATGTAGGTGGTGTGTTTCTTAGCTTCAGGGGGTAGATCTGAAGAAATTCGTCACGAGTGATGAGCTATATAATAACAATTACAGCCAAGCCACTTACGCCGGTAAAAGTAATTCCTAGTAAACAGATGGTGCCTGCTCACTAAAACTCCAGATGCTAAGCCAAAATGAAACACATTAAGCCGGCACCGAGAGTAGGTATGTTAATTCGTATAGCCGCCTAGTGCAAACTGTGTACACAGTGGGAACTATGTATTAATGAAATTCAAATGCTATTCTAGGAACGGGGATGTTTTTTTTATCTTGGATATTTTCGTTCTCGAGTGCTTAAATATTTTGATATCCAGAACGCAGTGTTTGTAAATAGATGAAATCTGATCAGAACGGTGGATTTACATAAAGATCCAGGAAAAAGTGGACAGAATTCCGATAAGTGCATAAAACAGGACAGGATTGTCAATATTAAATGTAAGAAATGGATTAAAAATAAAGATCTTTGTGAACATCTTTACCTTGCTTGTCATCTGTGATTTATACACAGATGTGACGAGTTAAAGAATAATTGAGATGTCATAACGGAATTTAGAATTGTGTAGTGATTCGTCAGTAAACAGTATTATATTTTAAAATGAGTTGTGTAGTGATCCGTCAGTAAACAGTATTACATGTTAAGAATGGGTTGTAACGTTCTACCAGGCTATATTTACCGGACAAGAAGACGGAAAGCCATATGGCTGTGTTTTATTTGTTCTGTTATTTTGTTGTTTATTAACTTAATTCCTAGAGAAGCAACTCATCAAGACGACGACTATGGAGTTGATCCAAATTACATCGCCAGGTTTAAAGAAAATTTGGAAAAGCAATCAGGACAAAAATGTGTGCATCCTCAATTGGATCCGTTTCATCCCTCCGTTGTTAACTTCTTTCATGATTACCCGAAGGTGACTTGTAACACAGAAGACGACTGGGTTTATGTTGTGAACGGTACGTTTCATATATCTCGCCGAGCTACTCGAAAGTATGGCAAAATTACGTGTGAATATGCCCCGGTTGTTCGCGGTCCTAATGATTATTCAGCTCGGCACATGGAGCATATTAAACCTATGCCCGATGGCGCGGCAATGGTATCAGACTTTTTCAAAGCAGCGTGTGTGTCTATAAATGCCAAACGCTATTTTAATATTCATTCGGGTATCGCCTATAATGAAACATTGCACAAAAGAGCGGAAAAGGTCAAGTTGCCAAAAACTGCTCTAGGGCTAGATGTTTTAATGTTTGGTTTTGATTCTCTATCTCGAATGACGTGGATCCGAAAATTACCCAAAACAAGAGAGTATTTTCTCAAAACTTTAAAAGGAATAGAATTAGAAGGATATAATATTGTAGGAGATGGAACTCCTCAAGCCTTGCTGCCGATCCTCACGGGAAAAACAGAGGAAGAACTTCCGGAAGCGCGGAGGGGACAGGAGGGCGCAAAGCCTGTGGATGATCATCCGTGGATTTGGAGAGATTTTCAAAAAGCTGGCTACGTTACAGGTTGGGCGGAGGACATGGCTTTTATAGGTACATTTCAGTACCGGATGTTAGGTTTCAAACATCCACCAACCGACCACAGCATGCGGCCATTTTATCTCTCCGCTGAACGAATGTATGGAAGAAATAAACCATTTTGTTTGGGTTCAAAATCGAGACACAAAAACTTCTTTAACTGGCTTAGAGACATATTTTTAATGTACACTAAAAAACGTAAATTTGTGTTCGGATTTCATGCGGAAGCTAGTCACAACGATAATAATAAGGTACAAATTGTGGACGAGGATTCGGTCGAGTTTTTAAAATATTTAGAAGAAAAAAATTATCTGAATAGAACTATTTTAATCCTTATGAGCGATCATGGTGCGCGATTTGCCGATATTCGACAAACGGCTCAGGGTAAGGAGGAAGAAAGGATGCCATATTTCGCCTTCCGATTTCCTCCTTGGTTTGAAACACAGTATCCAGAAATTGTTAAAACATTCAGAACTAATTCTCGTCGTCTAACAACACCTTTCGACGTCCATGAAACATTCCACGATATCTTAAACTATACAGGTTCAAGAATGGGGGATTTATCTCAACGAGGAATAAGTCTATTTCAAGAAATACCAAAAGAAAGAACGTGTTCAGATGCTGGAATCGAACCACACTGGTGCGCATGTCTACAATGGAAAAGTGTGAACCAATCGGACGCAGTGATACAGCAAGCTATTTCTACTGCCGTCGCAACTATTAACGATTACACGGAACCGCATCGTCATAAATGTGCTCTTTTGAAATTATCTCGAGTGACTAGATCTGTGAAATATGCTACCAATTCAAATATTTTGAAATTTAAATCCAGTTCCGATCATGACGGTAGAGTGGCAGATTTGTCTAGCCGGACTAAAGGTGATGAAAATTATTACCAAATAACATTTTTGACGACACCAGGTAACGGCCATTTTGAAATGACCGTGAGACATTCGCTTAATACAAGTGAAATCACCGTTAGTGAAAAAGAGATAAGTCGTATTAACAGATATGGTTCCGACCCAGAATGTATCCAATCCGAATATCCCCACTTAAGGCCTTATTGTTATTGTTTATAACATATGTAGATATAGTATATATTAAATTATGTAATATCCATGATATCATCATCATTATAAACACTAATTACATTTCTTTAACGTTAATAATTATTACCTGGCGCTCAAGTCGTTATGTGAAAAGATAGTCAGTATTTTAAACTCTTGTCATTATTTGAAACTCTAGTCAGTATTTGAAACTATAGTCAGTGTCTGAAACTCTAGTCATTACTTGAAAAACTCGAGTCATTACTTGAAACTCTAGCAATTGTCTGATACTATCGTCATTAATTGAAACTCTAGCGATTGTTTGATACTATAGTCATTAATTGAAACTCTAGCAATTGTTTGATACCATAGTCATTACATGAAACTCCTATTCATTATTCGAAAGTAGTTATTATCTGACAAATTCATTATTAACGCAATAGTAATAATCTAACACAATAGTTTTAATCTAACGCACTAATTACTTATCTGATGTTAGATATAAACATTTGTTTATTGTTCATCTGTCACGCAAGGTAATAAAACCATATTATATTTCTTATTTTTTTGTGTATAGTAATAGGAATGGTATAACTGTAATTTAAGAAAACATGTCAAGCCAGTATAATAAATGCCACAGGGGAAATAGAACATACGGTTTAATGGGAAGAACGTTCAAATTCATAGAAATCTATTTGAAAAAAAAAACCATCTTGATTTGTCAGATACAATGTCTGTAGGGATTATAATAATTATGTCATTTGTATATAAAATATGGTTTTGTCTGTACATGAGCTTTCAAGGATTTAACATTTTAAGTGATCATTATTTGTATAAGGCATATCGAACACAAAATCAGAGGATATATTCCAACAAAGTGTCTGAACTAGAAATTGTAATCTTCTACAATATCAATCTAATTAAAATATAGATCTATATTTCGTTTCGTTTTTTATACTTTCGATTGCCCACACTACATGTGTAGTAAAGACAAGTAAAATCGAAATTTTGAACTATAAAAACGAAACGAAATTGGATCTGTGTTTTAATCAGATTGCTACAATATCAGAATTTATTAAAGAACGAGTCTCACATCTACATGTATGTTGATGGATGCAAATGTCAACGAATCTTGGAAACCTTACACGAGTCTTGTATAACTATCTAAAGTTTGCTCTAATTTTTACAATATTAACTTAACTATCAGTTTTGACTTTGGATATAAGGGTGACCATATTTCCCTGAATACCAAAATTATAGAGATGCGTGATTATACATTCACTCATATAAATCGACAAGGGTGTTTCCTAAATGAGTTACATAAATAACATAATCCCAATAAGCAAATCGAGCGATCAATTAGGAATAGCTTGATATTTTGATTTCAACCTGAGGGCAATTCGGCAATTTCGTCACATTTTGGCATTTTATTTGCGTACTTAATGGGCACCTAGTGAAATTTGGCCTGCTGCTATAAATTTATACTAATATAATATTATGTATTTAGACTCATTATATACATGTACATGCATAGACTAACGGCATAATATGGCCTCTTTATCACAGTTCGACACAAGTTTGGTTTAGTTTATTATGCAGTAACCAACAGTTTTACTGTAGAGTATGTTCAGCACTTGACATTAGAACAGAAGACAATAAAACCTATCGACACTTATTTGAGCTTCTCCACGGAGTCAATTTCATATACCTTTCAAAATGCGCTCACCATAAAGAAAAAACGTTGACTATAACTAATATAAAAAGTAATACAATAAACTAGGGCTACAAAGAAAAGTATGTGTCTGATGATACAGATTTCTCAATCCATATTATGAGATTGATGGGTACAAGAATGGAAATATCACGTCACTTCTAATAGTTGAAAATATAATTATTTCAAATCCATCTTAGCATAACTCCAGTTCGTATAATATGTTAAATAATATGTTATGGTCCTGATGTTACGTCAAAATACAGCAACTTTTAATAGATGTAATATTAGGTCATGCTATTTATGTATTAATCAAATCATCCCAAGTCGTAAAATTATGTTCTCTCGTGTGTAAGATCATTGTTATTTTCATATATAACATATTAACAATGTACTGTTTGATGTATCACATATCATTTATGTATATATTTTTCATTTTTTATTTATAAAATAGAAGACCGATTGTTTTAGACGTTGGCTATTAAATAGGTTTATTTCATGACTTTTGTGTTATTATATTATGAATACTGATAACTCGAAGTTTTACAGAAAAATGTGCTGAACAAATGGGGCAAACAGTGAATACAACCAGCACCTTGCGAAGTGAGTCCTGCGAGCCCACATGGTTCAGCTCATCATCTGATATAGAAAACACCGTCAAAACAAGATCATCTGAAACTTGCTACGGATTCCTGATATTACTGGAGTTGGACGAATTATTTCGTTGCCAATAGTTTCTGGCGAAACAAATGCCTATAACAAACGGGCGAAGGAAACAGGTCAAGAAATATACTAAGGATGTTAACCCTCAGTAAACAGACTACAGTCCACATAGATTTGGCCATCGGAATGGGCGATCGGTATTTTGAGATGAAATTAATTGGGTTTAACGTCACAATTTTCTGCAAAAACCAGGATAATGAAAAAGGGCACATGCCGTGTAATGCGCTATGCGGGACACTGACTATAGACAGTGGCGTTTTTTGCGCTTACTTTTAATCGCATTCCAACTGTCAAAGTTTATTTCTTACATGTACGCCAACTATTAACCCCAATATTTCGTCCAATCCGAATGACTAGGCGTTGTTTCTTGCCTGACCCTCCGTGTTGTGCCCCAAGCATGGAGAACCCCTGTTGGTAAATGCCGAGGAACTTTCTCGGCCGTCACTGCATGGGTAGAACCAAGGATCTGACTGGGCCAACGGGAAAGATAATTTGATAAAACATGGTGACGACGCTGAAAATTATTCGCTAAATCGGTCAATAATTTGTTATATATCTTAAATTTTTTGACATTTGCACAAAGTCGTTTAGACTTCATTACTAAATTTGTACAAATCGATGGACTGTTAAACGTTAATATATAAGATAATATATTAGCTTCAATAGTTTTCTTCTCAGGACGATGGTAAAGTAGCGGTATTCGAGCATACTATAAGGAGAGTCTATTTCCAGGGTGGTTTGGGAGTTAAAAGACTGTTTTACATGTACGCGCGTGCTTTCGCACGTTACGTGGAAATGGTCCCACTGCATTTGTATTAGACCGACCTTTTCTTTTCACCGGCAATTAGGCGCACAAGGAAACCGGCCTTTTTTTCTTTACTGTCATTGAATTGCATTGACAAAGATCAGATATTTACATTCTAATTGACAGAAATTGAAGATTCTGTGCAATTAATGGTCGTAGTCTTATCTATATAGGCTATTATAGTTCCGTAATCGTTACTAGTAAGTATTTAGAATATTGCGTACGCACACACACAAAAAAAAAGAAAATCAACAAAAAAGGGATTTGTTGAGGCTTAGGCTTACCTGTTTTACAAAATATTTTCTATTAAAACCTTGTTTTGTAAAAGATTATTTTGATAATAAAGAAATTGATCTAAGATATGCATTCTAATGTACTCCAAATAAATCTATTCTATACCAGTTTCAGTAAGTCAATGAGCATTCAAATTATTGAAATGTGTTGAAACTGATAAACTCTGAAATAAACCTTTTTAATAAGAAATCAATAATACACCTTATTTTATTTATAAGTTTAATTCCTTATCTGATTTTTCCTTTTCCCTGCTCGAAAATGAAAGCTTTTATGTTTTCTTCTTGCTTTCTTAAGAATATTGACGTTTAAGCTTTCAAAATTAACCCTGCTTTTATATATGACATGGATACTGGATATCATAGATCAATGGAGATTGAAGATTTCCTAAAAAGCAGAACTATGATATCGTAAGATTGGAAAGGGTAAGTCATAGCAAATACTTTAGTTCATTAGAATATGAAATTTCTATTATATTCTCATTATCTTGTCATGAGGATTGCCCATTTTCATAAAAGGAAATAGATCGAGTTTTCATCATCCGATATCATTTTATTCCGCTGGGTTGTTTGCTTATCTCTAAGAATATCATCTAATGCAGTACAGCTATAAGTCCGAGGTAAAGATTCGATGGTTGTTCATTAAATTATTAATTATAACCACTGACAACGGCAGCAATAAGAGATATGAAGAAAAAAATAAGAAAAATAACTTATATTATTACCTTTGAACCCGTCAGTAGGTGTATAATACGAAAATGTACTCGATTCCGCCTGAAGATTTCATTATAGTACGTACGCAATCTCAAGTCACAACAAGTAAATTTATCTATTGATAAACGAGCAGACTATTATCATGGTGGACTTCAATGAAAATAGATATTGCGGTCTTTACCCCAACTCAAGCATAATTGTGGTTTGCAAACCTTTGGAGTTTTGTTGTATGTATACTGATTGTGACACACTATTATCAAATGACGTGTATGTATTATTCAATATTCATAATCAAAAAAAAACCCAACAAAAAACAAAAACCCCTTAAACATGTGTTCACAATACGTATTGTGACTTGAATCTGAAAAGAAAAGTCTGTAAGCAAACCTGATCTAGTCTATAAAAACAGTTCTGCTGTTAAATGTCTTTTGAGTGAAAGCTGCAACGACAGCAAGAAAGCAATTATGCATCCGGGCAGATTGTTCCTTGAGCGGAGATTGATCATGGTGTGTACAGATATACTAATTTATTAAACGTTTGCTACGTTACATTGCATCATGTTACGTTACGATCGCTTCTACTGTTCGAATACGGGGCTGTTGAATAGTGAAACATCAGTAATTAGATATTGGTGCAATATTCTCCGGAAGTTGTCACAAAGTCTAGGCCACAGTCTTGGCCTGGTTTAAAAAATCTAAGGTAAACATTCTACTTCTAAAATCATCCCAATGAAACGGAAGTTCACGTATTGACTTTAGTAGTTTTAGTATTTTTGGAATAAACAAGATATAGAAAACGATATGAATAAAATCTCTTTCAAACTAATCACGTGGAATTGTCTTGTAATTGGATTGTTTGTAATGTAAAGCACCGAACTAATCTGACTGGGTGGAGACACTAGAGTCCCCGTCTTCATTACCCCAGCCGGAACAGAACAGTAAGACGTTAAACCTCATTTCATTTCATTTCATTTCGATACTGGAGTCATGTCTCGGGTGATTCAGCATTGCATTAACACAACACAAACTTGTGATTTAAACCACCATGTATACAATACACGATTTTAAGTCTAAAGTTGCAGGAATTGGAAGTGGGTGCTATCTGGAGTCTTTTGTATTGCTAGAGGAAATTCTATACACGACAAAGATTCAATCCGTATGAAGTTGTTGAAATTGATTAATTTCAAGGCGACCGAACTCAACGCGCTTTACTTGTGATTAAACTGCCACAAGGGAAGAAATCGCAAATCGTTGCACATACAGCTAGTGTCAAATTATTCTGGCTGGAAGAATTCAAGACAGAATTGTTTCTAATTTGCAAAGGAGTTGTATTCCCAACAGATGTCGCTCAACATGAAGTCTTCTGTTAGAAATTAACTTTCTAAATTATTTCTTAATATGTAGGCGTTCTTTCATCTCATTTTGTTCTGATGTCCATCTTGCCTGATACAAAAAGGATGTCCCAGCAGATTTAAGCTTGAGCGAACAATATTTTCCACTGAGCTAAGCTTTAACTGATACTTGACAAAAGAATGTTACTTGTGTATTATATAGTGTGAAAAAAGTCATCAGTTGCCAAGAAGTGTCAAAGCGACCCTATCTTCGCCATAATATTATCCGATGGCATAAACGATCTACGCAATTTTATTTAGGTAAAAATAAAGCATTGGATTGGGTTGATATGATATTGTACTTGTTTCGAAAGATAACATTCATTGGTTTACTGTGTCGACTGTAGAACACACACGTTATATCAACAATTCTTTATCTCATCCGAACGTTGACATAGTTTAACCTAGATAGTGCAATAAATAACTGCATAAAAACAGGGAAATCGTTTAAATAAGGGAGCACACCTACTCCTTGAGGACTACTCTTTTTAAAAGAAGTCTATTAGCTACCCGAATTCTAAGATGGCGCCATTTTCAAGGTCGACTTTCAGGCAACGAAATATCATTTTTTGCGATAAAGTCACACCAAAGTGTTATATTTTATTCATCCTTAACATATATTTTAAGTTTCTTCTAAATCGGACATAAATTAATTGGGGCTCTAATGGCTCCACAGACTTTGTACATAATTCACATTTTGTCTAAAAGGCAGGGGACATAACCCAAGACATTGCGGTCTGGTGTAGACCAAAATCGGATAAAAATTGTGAGATCTCCGTACATATTTTACAATTACATGTATACGTAAACGGCAGGGAGCCATAACCCAAGAAGTTGCTGTCCGATACACACCAAAATCGAACCTATCCGAGATATGTGGGACATAAACATACTGGCTATTAAGTTGGATAAAAATTGTGACCTCTAGATTGTCCCCAAACAAATGTGAACGGACGGATGGAGGGACGGACATGGGCGACAAGATAATACGTCCACAGGAAAATGGGGCTGTATAAAAGTGATCTTAATCGGTCCAGTGGGCAAATTTCTGTGACTGAAGAGCCGCAAATGACATCCATCTTGAGGAAATGGCGACCATTTTAGGTAACGTAATTTACTTAAAGACACATTATGCGAGATTAGATAAAGAGCTGGTAGTTCTCACTATAATAGTTAAAAACTAGATAATGTAAAGGGAATTTGATCCTCACTGAACCGAGAAATTAACGATTAAATTTTCGGCTTAGCCTCGATCATCATCCAATAAACATCGCGATGACATCGAGAGTTGATTATGGTCTTGATAAGTTAATTAATGTCTAATTAATAATTTAGTTGATTATGGTCTGGATAAGTTAATTAATGTCTAATTAATAATTTAGATAACCTTTCAGGCCTAAAGAAAGATCTGCAATAGGCCGATTTAGCTCTTGCATAATGTATGTTTAATAAATATTAGTGCTTGTATCCAGATTTTTACCACTTAGCTGTCCCACTCAGACTCAAAGTGGAATCTTAATAGTTTAAACGGAGTCGGTTGTCCAATAATGAGTTTTATTGTTCTGAACAACACACCAACGGACCATCAATGGCCACCAAAATAATAAATATATAGCAACATCTACACTACGCTCCATATAGCTATGTTAAAGCTTAATAAATTTTTTTTTAAAAATCTAAATGAAAGCAAACTGTCTGTGGATGCAGGGAGTTGATTAACATTAATCTAAGTCATATCAATCGAATTATTAACTTCCTCACATAGTTACTTTGGTCGTAGTGTAATGGCTCTTTGTAGAAATCAAATCTTCCGTTTTTGTTTCCTTTTAGAGTTGTGAAGTTTTTTTTACGCACAGTGCGATTTAACTGTCTATCCCTAAGACAACGCGTGCATCATTTTGAAGAAAAGTATACATTATAGTTATGCCCCGTATAAGAGTAATTTATTTGTCTGGGTTCAGTATAAATGGACAATGAAGTACATCTTATAGGAAATGATTTTATAGACAGAATGTTGTCCGGGTTTCATCCTGATTTATTATAAACACTAAGAACATCCAGAAAACTACTGCTCGAATAATATGTTTTATTGTTCTTAACAACACACAGCTGGGTAGTTTCGACTAACAAAATTTAATGTGGCTGATGATGCTGTGAACTGAGAAGGCCCGCGAGAGATAAATGGGATTTAACAACGATTGAACACTAACTGGGTTATTGTGGTCTAACATGGTACACACATGGTGGTAGCTACTGGGGGACCCAGGGAACATCACGAGGTTAGACACGCCACCCCACTCCACGGGAGCAGCCATAGACCACGCCCCCTAATAGAAAAATCAAATGAAATGGGGTGTAACGTTCTACTTTTCTGCACCGACCGGTATAATTAAGACGGGCGCCCTATTAGAGCCCTGAATCAAAGGTAGAAATAAGGAATATCCGTTTAAAAGGGTGCATTTGGAAATAGATTTATTAATCCCGTTGGTTTGTGGGCGATGAATTGTTTACTAGTAGCACACATATAACTGACGAAAATTTACAGCAGACCAATGATTATTTGAAAGGTGATTAAAAATAGCTGACAAACTTTTGTTGGTGTGTGAATGATATTTGTAAGTCTTGGGTCCTGTCTCCAGTAGCCCATTTGGAACATCAAAGTAAGACGTTAAACTCCCGTTCCATTTTATTTCAGTTTGGGTTTGTGCTCGTACATGTATTCGGATTGTCAATTCACTTAAAAAAGGAAACATATAATTTAGCACCAGGTCATGATAAAGGATGTCGGATACATTTGAATGCCATATTAACAGAGAACATTTCCAAAGTTGAAATACATCACATTGTAATGGACCGAAGATAGCACTTCCGGGATGTTGAACCTTCAACGTGCGAATCAAATCAGGTATTGAACCAGTCTCTATATAAACGGATAGCGTTTACAGTGGCATGGTGATACGCCAATCAAATATAATAAGACATTTAGTGATAAGAGTTGAAGCATGTGTTATCTCATCTCATTGGTTAGCATCTAACAATTTATCTGACCCTTCTACTTTACTTGACATGAATAGCCTCTACCAACTGTCAATCATATATAGTAATCTACATATCGATGATAAGTGATAATAATATACATGCTGTAGATTGCACATCATTCGGTCTAATAGTTTATACTGCCAACACACACAAACACACCCCATCGATAGACAAATAATCAATAAATTGTTCCCATGCCAACAGCAGACAATTAGGCATTTTCACGCATTGGTGTTATCATGGCATGCCCTCACTTCCCGACTCGCGTGCTCGGAATAAATCTTTTTGAAAGTCACCATGACAGCTCATAAATTAAGATGTAGATTCTTTTTACAATTTTATATCAGACAATAGTTGCATGATCAAATCTACAGTAATTCTTAAGAACATTCTTGTGCTTAGATTTTAAGTAGACTTCAGTGTAAGCACAAGCACGTTATTGTGTGTTCCAAGACAAAACTTATTTACAACTTTGTTCTTGTCACTCTCAGTACAAGTCCCAAGCAAGGTATACGGCTTGCTTACCAGCCTTAAGCCTGTTTCTGCTTCAAAAAGATGGCTCACCGTAGCGGTATTTGACGGCATTTTCTACGTCTTTTGATACCAAAGAGACAATAATTGAAAGACAGAGAAAATCCTTTAGAAACATATTCTCGAGAAGAATGCTATAGAAAATTTCGCTTCTACCGTGAAACCATTTTATTTATTTACCAGTTAGTAAACAACACAAACACCCGGGCTATTTTAAGATCAGGTACTCTCAATTATTCAGCCTGTTTGCATGTGCTTGCGGGGTTTTTTTTTTAGCTTGTGGCACATTTTATGTCATTATATTTATGACATAATTTGCATACCAAAATTGTTTTTATGACGTTAGAGAGCATCGTAGTTTCAGTTTACTAGTCACAATGTGCTTAGACTCGTACTTGACTTGTGCTTACGTAAGAACGGTTTTGAGAATTTTCTAGAGACGGTATTTTATCAAGTTTCTTATGTAAGAAAAAGTGTAGCATGACTTTGTGCTTACTTTAAGAATTTTCTAGGAACCGGCCCTGGTTCCTCCTTGTAATTTAAGTGGTGTAGCTCAGAGGGCTTGGCAAGTGACAGTGTATAGTCTTTCGGATGGGACGCAAAACGGAGGTGCCGTGTATACATTGGCGTACACGTAAAAGTTCCCTTGACAGTTGAAATTCAATATAAGAGTAGGCCATAGCACCACTGTTAAGGCAAACTTTCCCTCATAGCAGACTGTACGACGTATCTTCGTCTTCATTAACTATAGTCTAACCGGAGCAGATTAGTAGGACGTTAAACCCTATTTCATTTCATTCATTTCCACCACTGTAGTACACAAAGGCCGAATTAGAAATGTCTGGCGAATATGCATATCAACCCTTGGCTTGCAGGTCCTAGTGCTTGCTTGTGCCCGGATAATGTACCATAAATAGCTTGCACTGTGGCATATAGTGTATAAAGTATTTTCTGCATACAATTGACATGACTGTCATTTCAAATCAGTGGGCCTACCAGTAACCGACGGTGACACAGTGGCACAGACATAACGTTATGACAACTAAGGCATAATTAATGATCTCATAATTTTGTCTGAATTAAACCTGGGGTTTAATCCACGATTAAATGAATACAGCTTTAGGTTGACCACAAGAGGTATTATTTTATTATATTGTACCAACAAATTGACAATTTGATTAAAGAAATCGACAGATTCGATCGCGAAATCTAGTCTAGTGAGTAGCATTGGAAGGGAGACGACTCTTGTGATTACCTAGATGGTGTGAGCCCACAAAGTTTATTCCATCAAAATATTTTTACAATCCCCTGCCGGAAATGTTAATTCACCAAAACCTTTCAAACTGCTAATCCTAAACAACAATAACACAGATACTGGTGTCAAGAGGAAAGAGGGGTTCGAAGAAGAAAAGACTAGATGAAGCGTTTCGTTACCCCAGAAAGGAAAGGATAGGAAGGGCATACACTTCGACCAATCGCTTATAGTCCTTTATGTCCTTAAAGCCTGTTTCACTATTTCTTTTATTTTTTTTTTTATCTATTCCTGGATTTTCACTTTTTAATTTAAACCAACAAGAAAGGTGTGATTAATCACAACTACGGGGGTTGGCCTTCATAGATATAAGCGATTCCCACGGGGTTTCGAGATAAAAATAATATTGAAGTGGAATATTGATCCGATAGTTTAAATTTAGTTTTACTTGTCTTTACTACACTAAGATCTGAAAGAGTTATTACCGGCGTTTTGGTTGAAGGGAGGGATAAGCCAATGAAACGGTCTGTTACAGCGACGTCTTGGCGTGCCATGCACGGAACTGTGGGTAAACCACTAGAAACGTCAACGCTGATTGATTAATCAATTTCTAACGTCATACGTCAACAGCCGCTCGTACGACTCTTGACACGAGCTTCGAGTACAACTTGTCAGATATTCATGTAGTGTAGGCCATCAAAATTATAAAAAAACGAAACGAAATATAAATCTGTATTTTAATCAGATTGATGCGTACTTGTCTTTAGCGCATTGTACTTTGCAACTCGGCCGTCGGTCGCTTCTCAAAGATCCAAGATGAACTTTTGAAAATGTTCCAAGGATCATTAATATGTAACACATGCAACGAACCGATGCCTAATTGTCGGGAAATCGGCAACATTTCATTCTAACAAATCCTGCCAATCAGAAGCCAGAGATAAAGTTAAAGTTATCTCTGGGGCCGAGATTGGTGAAGGGCAGAACTCAGGGGTACCCCCAGCCCGCCCGGACTGGCCACTTATTTCGCTCACATCAAAATCAGATGCCAGTTGCGTTGTGTTATATATTTTATATTGTACAACATTACAATTTGAAATACTTTTGTAAACAGTTTTTAGATTACGTGAATTTATTGAACAATCAAATTTTCTGTTTTAGTACACCGGGTTTCGTTTGTTGTGAAGTATGGGGAATTGTAAACCCAGTGGATCTGGCGTGTTTCGGGTTACAATATTTTTTAATCTTTTGTAATTTTTTTATTAACAATCCATTTTTTAAAAAAACCGAAACTAGTTTGAAATTTGAAGTAGAAATAATTAAAACAAATTTAGATTTCATCAGTTTCCTGGGCTCTGGGGTTTTAAAAGTTGTTTCAGTTCTTCTTCACCATTTTTGGTCAACTTTTCGTTATTGTTTGAAATGATCAGTTCCATGTTGTCTACCCTGGGTTTCTTATAAATATCGCCATTAGTTTCCTGCAAAAAAAATAAAAACATTCTTATTTGCGTGCTTATACTGTCCCTACATATTATGACTCATTATATTTGGTGGTGAGTCTCATAAATGTTTCCGTACATTGGAATGCACGTAAAAGATCCCTTGGCAGTTGGAATTCGATATAAGAGTAGGCCGTAGTGCCGCTGTCCGGGCAAAATTTCCCTCATAGCACACTGTATGGCGTATGCCCGTCTTCATTAGCCCAGGTTAGGAGCAGAACAGTAGGACGTTAAACTCCATTTCATTTCATTTTCATTTCTCATAAATGTTTCCGTACAATAATACATTATTAACTAACCAACTGATTGCGACGTATTTTTTTCCGGTTTCGGATGCATCAATCAGAAGAGTATTATTGAGGGTTTCGGAAAAGATCACCAGCTTTGATTTACGTGACTTGATAATCACTACCATCACTTACAGTAAGCATACTTGATTACCGAAGGATTTACACGCGTGGAATTTGGGGAATTTTGTACTTTGTGGGGCTTTAGATAACTGCTCGGGGCTAGGGGGAAATGTTTGCAAGAATTTTCACCTGGAATTAACAACTAAAATACTTCTGGGACTGTTCCTTTAACATTAATACAAGTACCTGTGTTTCAGGAATCATTCGACATTGTAAATATTCACGAGCAGTTTTTGGTAAACATCCACATAGCCATGAATACGCGGGAAAAATATACTTTGGATCCACGTCCTCAACACCTACAAAAATGACAATAATATAATTTTTTAAATATAAAACAGTTATGTATTTGCTAGCCTTTAACGTCATTCGCGACTGTCATTTTTCTTAAACATCCACATAGCCATGAATACGCGGGAAAAATATAAATTGGATCCCATGAATACGAGGGAAAAATATAACTTGGATACACGTCTTCAACACCTACAAAAATATAATTTCATATCCTCTTAAATCTTGTTTATATTACCACCCGGTTTCCTCCCACTGCTAAAGACCCCTACGCGCAAGCGAATTATTGAAATAAAATTAAACCATATGTTAGTCCCGAAATGACCTAGTTTGTGTCGAGTGGACGTTAAACCCCATTTCTCTCTATATATATATTACCACCATTGTATCAATTCGTAAGTAGTGTTGGGAGTATATAGTATGCCGTTTGCACGATACCCTTTGCCATATAAACTAAAGGGTTGACGAGGTTTCAGTATCTATAATACGTACCTGTAATTAAACTGACTATAGAACCAACAAGAAGTACTGTAATAACACCTATGCTACCAAACCACATATACGATATAGAATAAAATCTATCCAAACCTTCACTAAAATTATACATAAATAAACAATTCATACATCATTTGGTATTGTTAGAAATACATTATAAATGGGCAATGTCCATTAAAATATCTAAACGGGACAAAAGATGTTGGAAATTCGCCGAAAAATATAGTATGGGGCCGGGATTGTCATTTTTCCTCTGGGCCCTTATTCACGAAAACTTAAACCAAGTTACAACCGAAATTTTAAGAAATACTGCAACTTCATTGGATATATGCAAATTGATTTTACTGGTCAGCCAATCGAATTGCAGTATTTCTTAAAATTTCGATTTTTATCTTAGTTTAAGTTTTCGTGAATAAGGGCTCAGATTAGTGAAGAATCCTTGTATATGAAGTAACTTAAAAAGGCTACGTAGGGTATAGCGATTACATTGTTTGCCTGTCGATAGCTATCGAGGTTGTTTTATTTTGGAGAATTTAGATATCGGTTTAGAGACACGTAGGTAAACTTCATTTCCAGCAAACTATCAACACAAGCTGTCATTACGAGATTAAGAAATACCGCCATCCTCGATTATGTTTTTGAATCGTCACGTATGTGAACCAAAAAAAAGGGCATTGACAGGGTATTAGGGAGCGTCGTTGGAGGAACCTATGCAAGCGACACATGGGCCATTGACAGAGAGTTAGAAGTGGTTATCCTATGGGCATAACCTAAATGGTGTTAACGAGAATATAGAAAATATGAGATTTACTCTGGTGACAGGATATCTCCATGTATCGTATACAACAATTAATTTATCTTAAACTTACGGTTGTGGATCTAATAAAGTTGTTTCTATTGTTGTTGATGTAAATTCTGTTGTTGTATAATTGATGACAATCGTATTATTATTATTCTCAACCCAGGATGTTAAATTATCAACCGGACAATGATCTGTTGACGCCGGTGGTAACCATGGAGTTTTCTTTAGTGTTTTAGAGAAGCTAGATCCCATACCAAGCCATGTACATAAAGCCAGACTAACGAGAGTTCCTACTAAAGCTCCCTACAGTAATAAAACAAATCAAAAGTTAATTCAAGATTCCGTTTTTGTTGGGGTTTTTTGTTTGATGTTTAGGCAATTTCAACTTGAATTATATGTTACTAGTATGTAGTCTTCTACAAACAGAAAATTGCACTCTACCTTTTTGTTTGCCCATGGAAATAATGAGGACAATAAAAATAGGCCAGATAGAGGACCACCAAATGCTGACAATACTGTCCCTGTTATCTGCAAAAAAGACCATGATCCTAATATAACCATAAATCAGATGTACAGATCTTCCGCGGAGGTATTTTACTTAAAATAATGTTCCATCATTTATATAGAGGATGCTATTACATTGGTGGTAATAATATATGTTACTTGTATTAATGTTCCGTCTATTATAAAGAGAATGGTACTAGATTAATTGTAATATTACTCTGCATATATTTACCTGTATCAGTGTTCCACCTATTTGTGCTATTAACATAGCAACACCACACGCCAAAATACCACTTACAACAACTGTAAACATAGCATAATAAATATAATACAGACACGCTTATAACTTCAAACTGCCAATGACAACGACTGTAATCATATCATGATGAATATAAATACAACCACTACTTCAAGAGAAAGAGAGACAAAGGGGCTTGAACGTCCACTCGACATAAAGTAGGTCATTTGGGTACTAACATATGGTTCAGTTTTATTGCATTAATTCGCTTGTGCGTAGAGGTCTCTTTAGCAGTGGGTGTGGGGGTGGAGGACCCGAAGGGCCCGGAAAAAACCCACGAGCTTCGACATGCTACCCTACTCCATGTCACTTACAAGACCTTACGATGCAACGCGCTCGCGTTAACCATTCGCCCCCCGCCCCCGCCCACTACATCTAAAGTAAAGCTTGTCATATATAAACCAACTAGAATATAACTCAATATTATTTGTTTGTTACATATATTTATATAGTTTGGCCACCATAATAATTTTGTATTATCTATCTTTTGAATTTTTACAGCGTAAAAACCAAAACAAAATGGAATATAGAGAAATAACCATAGTTTAAAACATACACAATATAATACACAAGAAAATAAAATTATTCACTAATATAATATAGACAAAAAATAACGAATATAAACAAATGTTACCATACAAAACATTGGAATATACATATAGCCATAGTTTAAAACATACACAATATAATACACAACAAAATAAAGCTCTTCACTAATACAGACAAACAATAACGAATATAAACAAATTTAAGCATACAAAGCAGAGGAATATACACAAAACCATAATTTAAAATATGAACAAACTACAATTACAATATAATACACAACCCAATAAAGATATTCACCAATATAGACAAACCAACAAACGAAAATAAAGAAATGTAACCATAAAAAAACAAGGGAATATACACAGAACCATAGTTTAAAATATGCACAAAACCATAGTTTAAAATATGCACAAACTAGATTTACAATAATACACAACAAAATAAAGTTATTCAGATATATAGACAAACAAACAAATGAAGATAAACCTTCAGTTAGAATAGAGAAAAATCAAGCACTTTGAAAGTTTTAATTAACCGAGAACTTACCTGAAAGTTTAGCTATAACTGTTCCTTTCATCTCAGATATATCGTTTTTAACAATTTTTTTCACAATGTCTTGAAGGAAAATGGCTGACATACTGCTCAGTCCTGTAGAGAGTGTGCTAAAATACAAACAAGATATGCGGAACATACACATATCGCACAAATTAGCCCGGCAACCAAACCCCACTTAGAGACTTGTCGTGGAAATGCAGTACACCTAACGATTTTTGATGGATTTGCAATATGGGTAGATTCGGAATCAGGATGAAATTGGGGAAATTGAAATATCAAAAGTGGCCGCCATGAGGCATTTTCTGATTATTATGTCATGCTGAATAAAATTGTCGTATGTGTGATATCGACAACTGCCAACAGGGCGGCGTTTGTAACCTCAAAAAACATATATATATATATATCAAAATAGGTCTATAACATCAGTAACGTACCTCAAGGAAGCGCTGAAAAGAGACGCAATAAACAATCCTGGCATTCCTGGAAGGTATCTGAAGATATCCATCACCATATATGGTATGACCTAAGGACAATAAACAATATTATTATATATATAGGATTGTATGGTATATGTGATCATAACATTTACATGTATATAACAAATCCTGGTTATATTGAAGCAATATAAGCTAAAATGCCCATGACACCCCCAACCCACACAACAAAAAATACACCCAAACCCTACCCCCCCCCCCCCCCGCAAATTGAATTATTGAATTGAAAACCTTTGCTGTTGAATTTACCTGTATATAATTAATTTGATTTTTACCTGGTTTGGATTTGTTATTTGATCCGATTCCAAAGGGTCGCATTCTACTGTCTGATAATAAGCATAAGCTACAATTCCTTCATAACAAGCCACGGATATTGTTAGGAAAAATAGAGGAGCCGTCAAGAAAATAACCCTAAAATATTAATAATAACAATTAAGATATAATAATGTATACAAACGTGCAATCGATGATACAATACGACTTACTAATGAAGGTGAAGTAAAATGAAATAAAATGAATTTAATGGGGTTTAACGTCCTACTGCTAATAAAGATAAATCCAAAGCAACCCTAAAACATAACATTGTTCACTTGTGATGTTTTATAATAATTCCTAATTTTTCATGTCATGGTATATATATTTTTCAAGTTGTGCCAAACGATACATAATGTGAAAATTAAAAGAAATATACACAAATAATATAAAATATATACAAAACCCCCCAAAAAGAAAACCTCTAAAACATATTGTTCACTTATGACGTTTGATTATCCATCAGATGCATATTTCTATAATTTGTAACAATATATATTGTTAGGTGTGTCAAACCAAAATTACAAAAGTATACCATATAAAAGAACATAGTAACAGCACAGCATAACTTACTTGTAAGCATCTCTTAAACTTTTAGTAGAGCTTATTCTTTGGCATGTTGGCTGATTGAAACCGAATCCTAATCCTCTTATAAATGATCCAAAAAATAAACTCCAAAACGTATGCCTTATTGTTGGGTCGGTATCAAAGCTGAAAACCCCAGAAATAAAAAAAGTATAAAATTCTAATCGCGAGTCAATACAAAATAGTTAAGTTATATCAGTGTTGCTACAAGGCTACCTCTTACGTCCGCTATAGTTTATTATATGTGTATAAAAACAATGAAATTTCAGCGGATACTTACTTAAAAAGATTAAATCTTCCACCATCCATAGCTTTGTTCCAGACAGCATCAGCTCCACCAGCATCTATGGTGCCCTAGTATAAATATAAAATTATGTTGTAAATGAAATGAAATAGGATTTAACGTCCCACTGTTCTGCTCCGATTGGATTAATAAAGACGGGAAAATTCAGTGTTTGGACACCCGGTGTTATTTTGCTATTGGAACTTCAGTCACTTGTACATGTTTCTTGTGGTCAAGTCCATGGACTGTTATGTCTTGTCGTGTGAACTTGGGTTTAGCCAGGAATTTCTGAAGTATATTCTTACCTTAATTAAAATGGCAGCCATCCCAGAGAACATGACTAAAGATTGGAATACATCAGTCCATATAACAGCTTTTATACCGCCCTGGAATAAAAAAAAATTGTTGCCCCATGTTTTTTCACTTTGAAGGACAATGTAAAATAAAATTTTAAAAACATACATTTTTCAAACATTATCTAATATTTAAAAAAAAAGAATACTCACTATGGATGTGTATATTACAGCTGCTAAAGCTACTGCCGCTATTGAAATCCACTGTGGAAATCCACTAACTGAAACGATTGAAAGGTTAAAATTTCCTAGTGTTAAAAGATGAAAGCTCGGATATCATAGATTCAAAGGGGAAATACTTCAAATTGAATTTTATGAAAAATAACTACATATCTGCCAAATGTAAATAGTGTAGGATTACCTGTTCGTACAATAAATGTAAATAACTTTTCGTAATATATTCCAATGAGTTGGGCATGGGCTTGTTGACTGGGAATATTATAAAATAGTCTCAAACCACTAGTGATTTCCAAGGAAATTAAATGGGGGGGGGGGGTCAACGTCCTACTTTGTGGTCTGCTTGACTGTGAATATTATATAGTTCCGAACCAAAAATCCAACTACAAACTTGGGAGATAAAACGACCGTTGTATCTCTAGTAATTTTTGGGGGCATGTAGTATGTGTTGCGTGAATTTAAATTGGAACATGAACCCTCCCTCAATAGCGTATCGATGTAAAAGCTTGATTTTTTGATGTTTACAACAATTAGTACCTGCTTCTAGAGCTATTCCTGGTCCAAACAAAACAATACCCATATACCATAACTAAAACACAAATAATATCAAATGTATTATCTTTAAAAATGCGACAAGATACAATATATTATGATAAAGGAATGGATTTAGTTCATTTGTATGGCGGTATGTGTCAGGACCGGTGGCTGAAGGGGGGGGGGGGGAGGTATCACCACCCGAGAGTAGAATTTACGAGACATAGTCTTTCCAGAGCAGTTGTTTTTGTGTAGCTGTCGATTCTGGTGGTGATCGGGCGTTTGAGGGAGCTTTTCCGAGATACGGGGCGAGTGGGGGCTTAAATTAGTGGCAATGTTGAAAGAAAAATGACATACAGCTCTACTTTTTTCAAAATACTTTAATAATAAATGACTTAAGGGTGTTTATTTGCATTTCTTTTAAAGGATGAGGTAATCGTTAACCTGTCACATCTAGTTGTGCCGGTAGATCTTTGGTAAAACTATCTCTGGGTACGAAAGTTCAAAGATTTTTATTCTCTACCGTCTTTCAAAGCGTTTTCCTAGAAACTGATAGTATTGAATCCTTTCGTATTAAGAGTTCATTTAAAGGAGGGGGGGGGGGCAGATGGTATTTTTTAATAAATAAATTACATCTAGCCTTAATGTTAGGTGATGATTGGTTTATTACGAAAATGTTGAATGAATCCCTTCATACGAAAGGATTCAAAACAACTAGCCCCTAAAATTAGTAAAATACAAACAGTTGGAGAAGGAAATTAATCTTTTAGTAATGATCATCATTGATATCTTGTTGTTGTCCAAGGGAACTTAAATGCTGTCCAGTACAGGGATCAGATTTTGCAACCTGTTCTTCTTCCGCTTATGCAGAGACATGGGCCTGGACTAAAGTTTCAACAAGACAATGCTCGACCCCATACAGCAATTGCTACCCAGAATTTTATAAGAAATGCCGGTGTCCAAGTCCTGGATTGTCCGTCGCTTAGCCCCGACCTTAATCCTATTGAACACATCTGGGACGAACTGGGTCGACGTTTTCGTCAGCAAGTGAATCCACCAGTGTTTACTAATGTTCTGAGACCCATGAGAAGACGTTGTGTGGCAGTACGAGACGCTAGAGGAGGCCACAACCGTTACTAAACACTTTATTCCGATTGTTCTCCAAGTCTGTGAATTTCATTTTGGTGGGGGGGGGGGTACTGTGACATCACGAACGTTATCAATGTCAAGGACTTTCGGCGAGACGTATTCTTGCTTTCTGTTGATGTCAAGGTCGTCTGTGCACAACATAACACTAAAATAGTTGCCTTAAAACAAATATTAAAAATCTAGTCCCAAAAATCCCGAGTGTCAAGTTTTTAATTTGGCTGAGTATATGATGACCCTGATGTAAACAAACAGGTAACATCAAAAAGTTTGGTCTTGAAGTATAACTTCCGGTTTTATTAAGAGTTCAAAATGATAGGTTTTCCCACTTTTTTACCATACTCAATAATTCACAGTGTAACTTAATTGTTGACGTGACAAGGCGTGACCTGACGTGAAACACGTCAGTAAGCCTTCGGAGTTCTAGTTTATTATTATTATTATTATTTATTACAACAGAACAGAAAACAATGTGCTAGATTATAAAATCTTAGTTCAAAATCAAGGTAATTCTTCTAAACATGAAGCATTTTTATATGAGACTGACTGAACTGGGGGCTATAGCACTTAAGAATAACTATTTTTTTATTCAACCTCTCGCCTATATTGACTAGTTCAAGGTTGTTATTTATTAATGAATATATGTTGTGTTGATTATAATAAAAGCGGTAAGGTTGTGGTGAAATACTGTTGTCAAAAACACTTTGACGTTGTAGATCGATTCCGAGTTGGTGACACTGTGAACAATCGCGTGGTAAAGACTGGGTTAGGGAAGGGACGCAGTCAGCGTTACGTTATTGACATGTCCAGTAAAGTCTTTGCAAACCCATACTATTTGTTTTCTGTTATGATCAAACGAACCCATTTTGTTTAAAAGAATAAAATGTGTAGTTTAGTGCAACACATTAATTCATGACGCTAAAATCTGTTCAATTCTCAAAACACGGGTTAAAGTTACAACACGATGTCTTGTCACCATTTCTATTTAGATCTTGATTTTTTTTTATTAAATCCGTGTCGAGAGTTCCGTTTTCATTTTATAAAGACTACTTTAATAGATTAAAACCAATGATGCGTGTGTAGACTTTAATTAGCTAGCGCATTATGATCACTAGCTAATCCGTACTTTAACAAAACATGATTGGTTCATGAAAATATTTTGCTTCATGGAACCATTTATTAAAGGTACACATGTCTGAATTATAGCCTGTCGACTGTCAAACACAGCAATAGATTACCCCTTTATTTGGAGGATGCCATGATTACTTACCGTTGAGAGTAATCCTAGTATAGTACCTATAAGTCTAACATACCATGATTTATATCGCATCTCTAGATACTGAAATAAAGATTGGTTAATATTATCATCGGTATAGAACATTACTGAATCAAATTTATTCATTTAAATTTTATTTTATTCCAAAATGGGTTCCTTCAAGCTTATCTTTCGTTTGCTACCAATTTTATGCCTACGTTCAGAGGTAAATGACCAATTAAAGTGCGTGCAATGATATATACTCTTAAAAAAAGTAGGGGATATTCAGAAACAATACAAAACTGCGAAAATACACTGCTGTTTTTATTAGAGGTAACCGGTGTATGTTAATAACAGGCCAATTACCTACACATTAACATAAACAGTTCATATGGGCGGCTTATCTGACGGCCCCATTTCACTCGCAAAGAGATACACCGTCAAAAGTGAAAATGGACGTTTTTGATTTTTGTCTTAATAATGAGTAATTCTTCCACCAATCCTCAGACATTCAGCAATTCGTCGTGGCATGTTCCTAATCAACTGTCGAATCACGATTTGGGGCAATCTCACCCACTCCACTTGCAGTGTTGTCGGTTGACGTTGACGTCGACGATCACGTCTCTCGATCAAATTAAACGTAACACACTTAATCAAAGATACGCTAAACAGTAAATCGTATGCAAGAACCGATAGGACAGCAAACATGGATAGAAAAACCAGCACGCGGCAATTTTCATCAACCCTTCCTTGAAGTGTCAAATGACAATGAACCCCTCCCACGTGTATGGCGCTATTGCGTGTCGCATGTGCAGCTCAGTGGTTCTGTTGGAGCGATAAGTTCTCCATCTGTGAACATACTCTCAAAGCATGTCAAATGTCCATGACTATCTATCATATCGCAACCTGCACAGGTATTTGCATTTCAATATTCCCTACATTTTTTGAAGAGTATATATCATACGATTGTTCGAGGGGAACGAATTGGATATTGTTGAACTGAATTTAAATAAACCACACTATTGTTTCAGAGATAACGATAAGTTTCAGGTAAAGAGTTGTCAACAGCTGTTACATCTAAATATAAAATGATAATGATATTTCGATTTAAAGGTTTTTGTGGTTAAATAGAGTATTATATTTCCTATAGCATAAATATACAATAATATTATAGGTATTATATTTTGAACCAGTTTAACCTATAGTTATGTGCGAAGAATAACTATGGGCTGAACATAAACGATTCTGTGATTTTGTACTGATTTCTATACAAAATTTGGTGAAATTGTGATATTGTTTATTTTATCTATCCTTTTAATGGAGAATAGCCCACGTGGCAACACTCAAGAGCGCGTACGTGCATGAGGTTCAAGATATAAATCTTTGCGATACACAAACTGGAAGTAAACATTCACAAAAATCTGTCAGAAAATGTAAATTCAAAAATGTTCTTCAATGTTAGTCTTTAACCATATTGAAATGAAATGAAATGAAATGGGGTTAAACATCCTACTGTTCTGCTCCCCTAAACATGGGCTAATGAAGACGGACATACGCCATACAGTGTGCTATGAGGGAAATTTTGCCCGGGCAGCGGCACCACGGCCTACTCTTATATCGAATTCCAGCTGCCAAGGGATCTTTTACGTGCACGCCAATGTAAGCACGGGACCTTGTTTTTTTCGTCCCATCCGAACAGCTGTCCTGAAAAGGGCTTTATTATGCGGGGGTTATAAGTACGAGACATTGTTGTGACTATAAACAAAATATTACTATTTTTTGATATTATTTCAAGGTTTTATAATTTATGTCATTAAACAAATTACCTCGAATATACTGGTTATCTTCAATGGATGGATTAAAGGAACAACAACAAAGATGGAAACGATTTTAGACAGAAGGTACCCCCATGTACATATCCACCACTGTATTCCATATACGTAAGATTCGGCTGGAACCCCTAACATCATTATAGACGATTCGAACGATACCAATAATGATATCGCCACCGGTAAAAATGTCATTTTACGTTCCCCGACTAAATATTCAGACGTGGTTCTCTGTCGGCCTCCAGACAAAGCATAATAGATTCCAATTCCTATAGAAATAGCCATTGTGATGCTGAATATTATGTAATCGGCCACATGGAAGTGATGGAGTGCGTTCACCATTTTGTTGATCTGTCAGCCAAATTTCTACATTAATAAACACAGAAGCATTAATGAATTGATCTAATGGACAAAAGCAATGGCACTGTTTTGACTTCAGAGCCTATTTTAAGAAGATAAAATAAGGGACCCCCCGTATGGAAAAAGTATTGTCTTATTTATCTGCAATAAGTACAATAACTCAGCTGTAAAACTTATACGACTCATTTTCTGCCCATTTTATTAATTTTTACCCTTACCCTTTGTTTCTTAGTATAAAGACTTTGTATTAAACACATTAAAGAGACGTGAGAGAGAGAGAGAGAGAGAGAGAGAGAGAGAGAAATGGGGTTTAACGTCCACTCGACACAAACTAGGTCATTTCGGGACTAACATATGGTTTTAATTTTATTTACATAATTCGCTTGCGCGTAGGGGTCTTTAGCAGTGGGAGGAAACCGGAGGACCCGGAGAAAACCCACGAGGTTCGGACAGGCGACCCTACTCCTTGCCACGTACAACCGGGGATTCGAAACCACGCCAGTCTACTCAATGACAGACTTTATGATACAGTGCGCGCACGCTAACCATTAAGCCATCCAACCCCCTAAAGAGGCGTTAGGTAAGATTAAAAAAGAGCTGACAGTTCTCGCTATAATAGTTAAAAAATAGATAATGAAAATAGAATTGCTTCACTCTGAACCAAGATATTGGCGATTCAATTTTAGACTAGCCTCGATCGTCATTTCTAACGTTGGTACGATAATAAAAAAAAGTCTCGATTATCCGCTTTTACGTTAAATTATCCATCACAAAATGTATTCAAATCCATGATAGCGAAGGCCTAAAGAAAGACCCCCAATAGGCAGATTTAGCTCTTGCATGATGCCTGTATAACTTACCCCTAAAGGAAAAAATTCTTTTTACCACAGTGCCTGCCACTATCTACACAAGTGATAATCTTAACAGAGAGTAAACAATATTTAACCATAATTATAATAATAATAATGAGGTATATAAATTGGCCATCATGTCTCACTTCGTGTTTATACTTCAAACAACTAATAGTTTACTGATATTGCTTCATACTGTGTATATACCTGAAATGTGTTCATCATTCTACCGTCCAAGTTATGCCTTTCAATTTTAAGTGACCCCAAAACAAATTGTCCATTCATTTGTTACTATATTTTCTAATTAATATATACTCTTCAAAAAAAGTAGGGGATATTGAAATGCAAATACCTATGCAGGTTGTGATATGATAAATAGTCATGGACACTTGACATGCTTTGAGGGTATGTTCACAGATGAAGAACTTATCGCCCCAACAGAACCACTGAGCTGCTCATGCGACACGCAATAGCCCCATACACGTGGGAGGGGTTCATTGTCAAATTTGACACTTCAAGGAAGGGTTGATGAAAACTGCAGCGTGCTGGTGTATCTATCCATGTTAGCATTCCTATCGGTTCTTGCATAAGGTTTACTGTTTAGCATATCTTTGCTTTAGTGTGTTACGTTTAATTTGATCGGGAGACGTGTTCGTCGACGTCAACGTCAACCGACAACACTGGAAAAATTGGCCGTGTCACTGTAAGAGGAGTGGGTCACATTCCCCCAAATCGTGATTGGACGGTTGATTAGGAGCATACCACGACGAATTGCTGAATGTCTGAGAATTGGTGGAGCAATAACTCATTATTAAGACAAAAATAAAAAACGTCCATTTTCTCTTTTGACGGTATATCTCTTTGCGAGTGAAATGGTTCCGTCAGATAAGCCGCCCATATGAACTGTTTATGTTCATGTGTAGGCAATTGGCCTGTTATTAACATACATTGGTTACCTCTAATACAGCAGTGCATTTCCGCAGTTTTGTATTGTTTCTGAATACCCCCTACGTTTTTTGAAGAGTATATATATGAACGGTGTAAATAATATATTAGGAATCGTGCATGTAGATTTTACGACATAGAAGAGAAATTAATCACGTATGAGAAATGGTGAATGTTTCAGCTTCACACGCATATGTGCATAAATGAAACCCAATGGTAAACAAATCATGAAAAGAAATCAGATAAATCTTCCTCCCTCTATTCAATAACCTAGTTTCAACCTCTTTTCTGGTCATGAATGTTAATCAGTGCGTCAGCCCGAAATCAACAGAAGTAAAAAGAAAATGACAAAAATTGTATCAAATGACTCATGTTTCTATTTAAAGGACAATATTGGTGTCAGTTATTATCACATATGTGATAGAACTGATTAAAAATGTTCCAAATATAATTTTAACACAGAGATCCTTGCTACGATGGATGCGTTTTAAAGATTTCAAGAAAGGGCAGTGACAAACGCAAAAGGAAAACAAGAGTTATCCTTCTCTTTAACTGACTGATGTGACGAGTGATAACAGATACACGGGCAAATTTCTGCTCACTAATAATTCCTTCGAAGACCAAAAGTTGTTATGTGAGGCTGTGAGAGAAATCTGATAATTCAAAAAAGTAATCGAATGTCACTAGATGAGGAAAAACGAGCAAAATAGAAATAGTCAGTACATCCTCCTGGTTTTTATTCATTCTATACTTTTTCAATTTCTCTCATTTCCACTTATCTAGTGACGGTCAATTTTGTTTTTGAATTGTCAGATATCCTCCCACAGTCTCATATATAGGGTGACCCGTGCACCGTACATAAAGTTGGTCTCGGCACGGCGAATGTACACGCTTCTGTGTCTTATCTTGAAGTGATTTCTCGCATACACTACCCACTCAGCAATAGAGTCTATGATACTATAAATAGCCATCGCACGTGCAATTCTCTACACTTCTATCAACTATTACAGCCGTAAAAAAATCTATTGTCGACGATTCTGAATAGCGGTAATATTTAGCTTATTGGTTATTACAGCAGCTTTAGAAATTACGTTCGTTTATTTTTTAAATTGGTTTATCATTAACTGTACCATTAGGAGCTGCATCTATTGGATTAGTACAAATAATATCTCTGAAATACTTGCGTTGGGCAAGAACATGATACTAGCAGCAGTTTCATTTTACTTTTACAAGGTTCTTAAAACAATTGTTGAGTTGCCTAATGTGCGTGTTTCTAAATTCAATTTATTGTTCCAGCTGTCTGTCATGTTTCGTAAAAAAAGTAGTCCTGATTATCCCGGCCTATTAATCAAACGTACAAGGATCGGCAGACTGGTTAAGCCTCTATCTTAGCAATGATCTATGTGTTAAAATTATATTTGGAACGTGTTTAACCAGTTCTATCACATACGTGATAATGACTGGCACCAATATTGTCCTTTAACTAGGTTATTTGCCACACGAATAATGTATCCCAAACAGGCTACCTGTCTACAGTTAACTCCGCTTCTCGAAGTATTAAGTAGACGGATCGCTGTGCCAGGCATGTCTAACGGTGATGATCTGGTCAACAGGAAGTACCCCTGATAAGTACTATTGATCGTAGGTATTTCAACCATAGAGTGTTTCGACAATAGCATCACAGTGTTGAGTTGATTAATCTTTTTTGCAAATGGCCACTGAGCTATACGATGTGCTTAAACACCTTTAAAGTAACACTATGTCTATGTTATACGGGGGATCACGTGGCTAAGTGGGTAAGACGCTGGCTCGCTAGCCTGGAGGTCGGGTGTTCGATCCATGCATTGGCCGAGAAAGTTCATCCAGATTTTCCGGCGTGGTTTCCCCTTGTCAGTGATGCAGGACGGAGGGCCTGACAAGGACAGCTGTCTAGTCGTTCGGATGGGACGAAAAACCGAGGCCCCGTGTACATATTGGCGTGCACGTAAAAGATTCCTTGGCAGTTGGAATTCGATATAAGAGTAGGCCCAGACAAAATTTCCCGAATAGAACACTGTATGGCGTATGCCCGTCTTCATTAGCCCAGCTTAGGAGCAGAACAGTAGGACGTTAAACCCCATTTCATTTCATTTTATTTCTATGTTATACGCCATTCAGTTCATCCAAGTAAGCTAAACAGTTAATACAATTTTATTTAGTTATCGTTAAACATTTGAAGGTAAAAGAATTAAGACAGAATTAGATTCAACTCTTCGAATTCAAAAGTTGTGCCAGTTCTTCTTCTCCATTTTTGGTCAACTTTTCATCATTGTAGGAAATGATCAGTTCCATGTTATCTACCCTGGGTTTCTTATGTATGTCGCCATTAGTTTCCTGCGAAAAGAATAAAAACTAGTGCCACATATATTGCTTCTATTCGAAAATCTTATATTAGATCAGACAATATGACCCCTTAATAATGGTTCATTTGCGTCAATATCACACACACAGCTTGATCTTTTCAGTCGGTTCCTTTAATTATAAATTAAAAAGTTATGGATGTTATGGATTATAGAACTATGATCCTATATTTTGACTTCATAAGCACCAATACATGGCGAACAACAATGGCGTATCTTTTTCGCTTCTAAAATTAGTGCAATCCTGGCGAGAATATTCTCTGAAAAAAAACATTGTGAACTTGTAAGAATATATTAAGAAATTTTTTTAATAGTAGGCCTACCAATTTTTCGGGAACCATTCGACACTGCAAATATTCTTGTGCAGATTTTGGTAAACATCCACATAGCTGAGAATACAAAGGAACAATAAATTTTGGATCCACGTCTTCAACGCCTATAAGAGATAACATATTACACATATTTCAAAATGACAAACATGATTACAAACAAGTGTTTCCCCCCCCCCCCCAATCCACACACCTCCCGAATCTGGCAATTTTTGAAAAATACATGGTCTCTAGCATCAGTTTGGCGTATATCTGCGGAGACTCGACAAGGTCACTTTCAAAACACTGGCAAACCAGACTGTGCGGGAGCCTATGGTCCATACCAATTAGTCATGCAGCTGAAAAAAATAAACTCGAAATGTAAGTATGATTCGGCGAAAATTAGAAATTGTTTGAAATGTAATACCACCTGAAGATTATAATCTCTAGCGTATATCCAGAAACAATAAATTCCGTTGAATCCAGAAGAATTTGAAATAAACGAAATAAAAAATAATTTTTTCACAGATAGCAGCGATGTGAAAAAAGAAAGCGAATATGCCAGACTGGAGACAAGGCAAATTCTAACAAGCTCGAGGTTTATGGGAGATTGGGAGAGATTGGCCACACGCTTGACGCGCCGTATAGCGACAAAACAACGAATTATAACTCAGATTCAAATTTTCAAAAAAAATATGAATTTGGTACAATGATGAGTCTCTCTTCAGTGATACCTTAAGTGCGCCTTTTTGCCCACAAACTTTCTGATTCTGAGAGCACGTCTTTTTTATTTCACAGAGCACACACATGCTCCAAGACACGTTAATTTAGGCTCTTTCAGTTCGTAGAAATATATCTAATTCATCTCCAATAAATATCTTTAACCAACTAACCTTAGATAGTTTGTAGGCACCAAAGGTAGTGGGTACGAATAACCTATGGACAACAGACATGTACTGGAAACTCTGTAGCCAAATGTTATAAATCCAGTCATGTAGTTTCGGATTGTAAGTAGTAAAAGATGTCGTACATGGGGCAAGGTATGCTTAGTTGTTTGAGAACACCAGGTCTCACTTATCTGAGATGCACAGACAGCTAAATGTTGTATACATGGGTGTTGAAATGACAATGTCACTGTTACTCAAACGTTAATATAATATAATACGCCATTATAGCTATAATACGTACCTGTAAGTAAACTGACTATAGAACCAACAATAAGTACTGTAACAACACCTATACCACCAAACCACATATACGATATAGAATAAAATCTATCTAAACCTTCACTAAAATTATACATATTATAAACAATTCACAAATATATTTTATCTTGGCTATTACATTATGATTATTATACTGGTTCCGTGAACAATGGAAACAACTCAGAACACACAACAATATAACCGTACAGGCGCTGTTAGCTCCGAACATGCAGTAAAGTTTGCTGGATGAGGGCGAAGGGGGGTCGCCGGTCGCCCTTGGGCCCGGGTGCTAAGGGCAACAAATTTCCCCTAGACTCTGCCATTACAAACGTGAATTCATAATTATATTCAGATTTATATTTCTGCTCAGCTATAAATGGCAGCCTTAATATTATTGCAGTTTGCTTTTTGTGGTAATAGAGTACTGAACAAACAGTGATAGTAGTCTCTATCATTCAGATAAATATTCCACGAAAAGGTCATTGGCTAGATTATCCTGTCTTTTACATTATCATGAACAAAGTCCAAGGGAGGTAACTAGCCCTAAAACAAGATGTCGACGTCCATGAAATTAATTTAAGAATTACCATTTCAGAAAATCCATTTTCATGCCAGTTCAATATCATCACTCTTAATATTTTTATTGTAAAATGTATCTCTTTATGGACCATATCTATGTTGTTGTTTTTTAAATTAATCCTAATTCGACGCCACAATTCATGTTTGTTGATAATAATGCATAGATTTACGGGATAATCAACCACATAAAAAAAACTCTGGGTCACGCATGGGCAATGGAACTTTTTGTCAAATGTACGCTGAAGACTAGGAGGTTATGGGTGACCGAGACTACAGTGATAGTAAATGGGGTTGGGAACCTCTGATTTAAGTTGAAAGAGATTACTACAAGGGCGGTCACTGCCACCGGCAATCATATAGTCATATATATAATCGACGTAATCAAATATCCGACGTCTCATTCCCGTTCACGCACGCACATTCAGCTAGTCACTCTCTCCAAAAATTAAAGTTTAAAACTAAAATTTCATGATTAAAGCTAGTCTAATCATAAACTAACGGTTGTGGATCTAATAAAGTTGTTTCTATTGTTGTTGATGTAAATTCTGTTGTTGTATAATTGATAACAATCGTGTTATTACTATTCTCAACCCAGGATGTTAAATTATCAACCGGACAATGATCTGTTGACGCCGGTGGTAACCATGGAGTTTTCTTCAGTGTCTTAGAGAAGCTAGATCCCATACCAAGCCATGTACATAAAGCCAGACTAATGAGAGTTCCTACTAAAGCTCCCTGTAATGAAAAGAAAAATACTCTCAATAGAGCATCACACTGGGCTTTGTTACCAGAATTCAAATCAAACAAAGAATTAAAATCGAAGCAAATTATATGTATTTATCTAATCGGATCAGCTAACGTAACGTCGAAAAGTACAGACACTCTATTTTGTATTATTTATTTTATTTACTTTTTAAAAAATATAGCGATCTACCTTTTTGTTTGCCCACGGAAATAATGATGACAATAAAAAGAGACCAGCTAGAGGTCCGCCAAATGCTGACAACACGGTTCCAGTTATCTGTAAAAATAGGTCATTTGTGAGAAAACCACAAAATTATTTAATTTATATATAAATAAATTAGAAGTGGTATCAGTTGTTCTTGAATCAGTAAGCTTATTTAATGACATTGACCTTTACTTTTAACTAATATAAGAATACTAGTGTGGACTTATATTTGAGAATCTAAAGCTGGCCGTCTAAAATAAAGCCTCGGTGCAATGGCAACCCTTCAGCTGTCACTGGCCAAATAATAACAATGTACTTTTGCAATATGAACTTTTCCAATTGTCGGTGGTGTGGGCGGGTCGCCTGACAAGGAACAATGTCTAGTTTTGCGGATGGTATGGAAAACTGGGGCACGTAAAAAGAACCCTTGGCATTTGGAAATTTAATTCGAGTATGCCGTAGTGCCGCAGTCCGGACAAAATTCCCCCATAGCACACTGCATGGAGTATGTCCGTTTTCATTAGACCAGTCGGAGCAGAAACGCAAGGCGTTAAACCCCATTACAGAGAATGGCACTAAATCTGTGGTAATATTACCCTGAATATTATTTACCTGTATCAATGTTCCACCTATTTGGAGAGAATGATACTAGATGAGCGGTAACATTACCCTGAATATATTTTACCTGTATTAATGTTCCATCTATTTACAGAGAATGGTGATAATATTACCCTGAATGTATTTTAGCTGTATCAATGTTCCAAATATTTAAAGAGAATTATAGTGGATTGGTTGTAATACTACCTTGAATATATTTTACTTGTATAAAGATACTAGATTGGTGAATGTCATCCTGCATATATTTACCTGTATCAGTGTTCCGCCTATTTGTGCTATTAACATAGCAACGCCACACGCCAAAATACCACTGACAACAACTGTAATCACATAATAATACGAAACTCACACATCACTAGTAAACACAGTTTGTACACCAACAAATGTTTACTGCACATTAAGATAAACACCATGTGTCTAAGTAGGCTTAATAGCCCATCGGTGGATAGCGAATGTCCTCGAAATCTTGTTTGCAAGATATTCCTAAATTTTAGAAAGACCATGCTTTTTAAAATATATCTAGATGTCTACACAGTTTCCATTTCCAGGTTCCATATTAGGACATTCCTTGCATAATAGACCAATCCAGGGGCGGATCCAGGAATTTTTGCAAGAGGGGGTTTGCCAGGTTCCTGTTAAGGAAATATGTCATCATCGTCTCTAAATTACATAGGCATACATACAAATTGAGCTTTTTAAAGAGAGAAATCATTTTTTGTAATGATGTAGGAACACATTGTGATTTAATTTCATTGATGCAAGGCATTCAATTTTTTTATGTGGCTGAGCAGGGTGGGTACCCCACCCCCCCCCGCCCCCCCTGGATCCGCCCCTGCAATCAAGTAATTCGTACCTATGAAGTTTGGGTGTTTAAAAGGGGTGTGCGCTGAGACTTATTCAAGCATCCTTCCAACAAAATTGATGTAGCGTTGTTGCTGATGTTTAGACTGATGCTTATATATGTAATAGCATAGCTGCTTGTTACTTGTGCATTACTGGATTACTTACCTGAAAGTTTAGCTATAACTGTTCCTTTCATCTCAGGGATTTCTTCTTTATAAATTTTCTTTACAATGTCTTGGAGAAAAATAGCTGACATACTACTCAGCCCCGTAGAAAGCGTGCTAAAATACAAGAAATTGAAATTTATTTTACAAATTGTGTATGATGGTGGATCAGAGAATGTTACATGTGTTTGTATAATCATGATACGATACAATTTATTATTATCCATTGTAAATGCACACCCATCCTAACAAAGGAAATCATTCTAACAAAAATTGATATATTATATACTCTTCAAAAAATGTAGGGGATATTCAGAAACAATACAAAACTGCGGAAATGCACTGCTGGTTTTATTAGAGGTAACCAGTGTATGTTAATGACAGGCCAATTGCCTACAGCGACTTATCTGACGACCCCATTGGACTCGCAAAGAGATACACTGTCAAAAGTGAAAATGAACGTTTTTAATTTTTGTATTAATAATGAGTAATTGCTCCACCAATCCTCAGACATTCAGCAATTCGTCGTGGCATGCTACCAATCAACCGTCAAATCACGATTTGGGATAATCTCACCCACTCCTCTTGCAGTGCCACGGCCAATTCTGCAGTGCTGTCGTTTGACATTGACCTCGACGAACACGTCTCCCGATCAAATTAAACGTAACCCACTAAAGCAAAGATACGCTAAACAGTAAATCTTATGCAAGAACCGATAGAAAAGCAAACATGGATAGTATCAACCAGCAAGCCAAGCGGCAGTTTTCATCAACCCTTCCTTAAAGTGTCAAATTTGACAATGAACCCCTCCCACGTGTATGGCGCTATTGCGTGTCGCACATGCAGCTCAGTGGTTCTGTTGGGACGATAAGTTCTTCATCTGTGAACATACTCTCAAAGCATGTCAAGTGTCCATGACTATTTATCATATCACAACCTGCATAGGTATTTGCATTTCAGTATCCCCTAATGTTTTTTTGAAGATTATATATGTAGGTAGACCATCTTATGAAGCACTATACAGTTTCGGCAACCAAATCAAATATGTATTGATATGCATCGCTATGCATCGAGGGTTAGATGTGGAAAGTACAGATGCCCGCCCCCCCCCCCCCCCCGGACATTCAACGCGTTATGCATTCTGCTTCCTCTGCTACATATTTTATTAGCCTTGTGATCGTCTAATATTGTCTCTGGGTATATTTGTAATTTTCTACTGGTTAGGACTCCACTTTAAACGTCGTGAATATATTCTCAACTTATTCAGTTTATGGTTACACACAGAAATAACAATATCACAGTTCGTTTCTACATTTTATGTCAAGCACTGGATATGTAGGTTACAAGCATAGACTTAAATAAAGCCAATCTCTACTCTCTCAACCCCACCAATTCGCAGAATGGGTTTACTGACAGAATGCCTACATCATATGGCTTCTACGACTTAACGGGGCACGCTGAAACCAGATGGCGTCTCTTGAACCTCAACGGTCTATCCCTCTTAAGAATCTACATGGTGTCTGACTATCGCCTGTTCCTGGTGTTTTACGTCCACTTCCACCAAGGGTAATATCGTAGACAGTGGTTTCCTAAGTAGGTAAGACACAATGTCTTTGCAGGGAATATTCCTCTCATAAGTGTTCAGACCATAGGATTTATCCTTGACCTTAGACCCCATGTCCTGTTATTCTCACAATATTTCATAAACAATTTAATTTGCGTTTCAAATTATTCAAATAAACTTATACGTTAATATTTGACAATGGAGGAGGCAGATAACATGTATTTATCAAATTATAAATCATGTATCATATTATCACAGATTTGCGTTGTTTCACGTGCTGTTTTGCTTGCCTATGAATCTGTAAACAATAATTAGTTATGGCCATACTATTATTATACATACGTGTTGTTTTACACAAATCTCGTCATCCATGTTATTACACTTATTACCTAAGCTTTAGAAAATGAGCATCACAATTAAATCAGTAATCACAATTAAGATCATATAAGATCGACCCTCGAAACTCATATTATATATAATAATATACCCTAACGCATTATACCTTTAACACGACAGGTTAGTGCAACAAGAACAGACCAACACGAACGCATTAGTTACAGCTTCTGTTTATGGAAACCCTTCGGCGAAATTAAGAAAGCCTTTTAAGTTGCTATTAGCCCATATAGGAAGGAAATTGTACCGTCGTCATCATGTCTTATTTTACGGTTTTATAGATGTCTATAGCTGATTACACGAATACATGTTTTACAATATCAGGAACTAACCTCAATGAAGCGCTAAATAAAGACGCCATAAACAATCCAGGCATTCCTGGAAGGTATTTGAAAATATCCATCACCATATACGGTATAATCTGAAGAAGTTAAAGGATATTGATATTAATAAATACTGCTCGTTAATTATCACATGTAATATTCTCTAATGATTAAAGGAATATAAAACGTGATAGAATAATGATCTAACCCACATTATTGTCACGCATATTCTGGTTTATGTTAGGCTAAAGCGACTGCTTTTTCGAAGGTTATGAATATTGATAATTTTAGTATTTTTCAGTCGAATATCAAGGACAATGTTGATGAAACCCTTTGCTCTTGATCGCATCTCTTTGATATGTTCAATATGGCAAATCTTGAGTAAAACATGATGTTTATCAGATTGATCTTTCACTTGCGCAGCGCACACGAATTGACTCAAAATTGTATCTAAAGTAGTTGTGCCGTGAATCCAAACTTGGCAACACTGTAACGTGAGCTTTCATGGAAAATAGCACTATAACTTTGAAGAAAAATCAACAAAAAGGTGCCCTTGTGTGTACTTTAAACTAGGTAGTGTATTTTAAAACTAGATTTTAATTAATACCTTGAAAAACCTGCAGTGGTTACCCCACCTCATTAATAATTCAGTCGCCTGTATTTAAAATACATTGCAACAAAACTGATTAACAACTCTCACTATTGTGTACAAAGTGACGGTATCAATCGCTCGTATAATCCGAAATGACATCCACAGCGCTCCATTTACCGAGTAACCCAAACCCCGGGCTTGCAAATTGTCACTACAACACTTCAACATAGAGATTATGGATACCTTCGCTGATAATCCTGGATGTGCCCCTATGTAAGAAATGGAAACACAAACCCACAAATGACAGTACCTATCATTCGCACATTCCGCCCATGACAACTTGTACGTACGATGCCCTTTTTAGAGACAACGATGGTCCAACGAAATTTAGAATCCAATGAACGCAAATGTATAAAGGGATACTAAAATGTATCTAACAGAACTGAAGACAATACCAGGATCAAGTTATGATAAAACGCTCGTGTCAAGCGTTTCTGCTCTATTAAAGAAGATTTTTCAGAACATTTTCTTTCTTACCTGGTTTGGATTTGTAATTTGATCGGATTGTAGAGGATCACATTCTACAGACTGATAATAAGCATAAGCTACAATTCCTTCATAACAAGCCAGGGACATTGTAAGAAAAAATAGAGGAGCCGTCAACAACATAACCCTAAATTATTAATATAAAAAATAAGATTAAAAGATCTGTAGAAATTGTTTCATTGTCTATAGATATAGGTGAATATTTGAAAATAAAAACCCATCATCTCGACCACTTTATTATGTTTTCGTTGGCCTTTGGATTCAAATATCGGTGCAAATCATCGTTGTGGTTTCAGCTGTGTCGGCATAAATGTTTGCGACGAAATTCTGTCAAAAATTTGTGTAGTGCGTAATTATACCACAATATACATTGCTGAACTGTTTGAAGAAAATACAAAGTTATGAAAAAGCTCTGATATGAATCTTCAACTTACTTGTAAGCATCTCTTAAACTTTTAGTAGAGCTTATTCTCTGGCATGTTGGCTGATTGAAACCGAAACCTAATCCTCTTGCTAAAGATCCAAAAAATAAACTCCAAAATGTGTGTCTTACTGTTGGGTCGGGATCAAAGCTGAAAATTCCCGAAATGTTAATTATAAATGGACATGAATGTAAATTAAACATGGTTAAGTCATATCAGGGTTGCTACAAGGTTCCCTCTTACATTCAACCCGATTAATTACATCTGTAAAATATTACTTTGATAGTGCAGCTGAATCTTACTTAAATAAATTAAATCTTCCACCATCCATAGCTTTGTTCCAGACAGCATCAACACCACCAACATCTATGGTTCCCTGGTTTAAATATAAAATCATGTTGTAAAAGTAAATATTTTGTGTGTTGTTGTTTAGTGCTTGGACACCCGATGCTACTTTGCTAAACTTCCAGTGGTAAGGTCCATAGACTGTATATGTATTTTATTCTGAACATGAGTATAGTCAGGAATTACTCTAGTCTATATATCCCTACCTTAATTAAAATGGCAGCCATCCCAGAGAACATAACTAAAGATTGAAATACATCAGTCCATATAACAGCTTTTATACCTCCCTGAAATGCATAAATTATTTTGAGAGTGACTGAAGTAATTGATGGATAATTACAAAACACACTAATCTAAAATCTACTTGGCAATAAATCATCGTTGCACAATAATGTTTTACGGGTAATTAGGGTTGATATTGTGCAGACTTACTATAGTTGTGTATATAACGGCTGCTAAAGCTACTGCGGATATGGAAGCCCATTGTGGAAATCCGGTTACTGAAACGGTACAAAAATTTATTTTAATAGCATTTTAGGATTTTATCATGTGATTTGCTTTGTTTACTCTCCCGTAAAACCAATGTGCTATGATTCATTTGTATTTAAGATCATTCCATTTACAATATTGTCTTTAAACTCTGCAAAGCAATGCGCAGGGAACCTACTACAAGTTCAACATCAATGAATAATAAACAAATAATATGGGGATTATGTACATTGTGCATGTGTTATGGTTTGGGTTTATAATATTTAAAACAATATGTTACCTGCTTCTAGAGCTATTCCTGGTCCAAACAAAACAATACCCATATACCATAACTAAAACACAAATAACCGAACACACTGATTTAAAATAGCACTGCCAGTTTGGTTGAGATTAAAATTGAAATTGGCAGATTCGTTGGATATTGATATATTTCGTGGAATGATAGTTGCCAATTATACGTCCATGAAAAAAAAGAAAGTTGGGATATAACCTATTGTGTGTTCCTGTGTAAAGGCAATCAACCAAAAATAAAATCACTAAGAAAACCGCTTAATCTTTAGAAACAAAAATAATATAGTCATATATAGTCCAATCACAACACCGAAGTAATATGACACTATCCTGTGTCTATAAACCCTCAATATCAATTGACTCCGGAACACTGTGTTGTAACTATGTTTATATGTGGGTTTGACAAGCATAAAACTCAGACCTAACGGCTGAAACATTACATATTGTCTCTACCTCTGCCTCAAACCAGAGGCGGAGAGTATGTTCTTCTAAGAATACTAAATGATGTTTGAAAATACCAAATACATGATGTTCTCGCCCGGCATGTAAGCCGGGCGGCTAACGGTATGTCTCACTAGGAAGCCCGCATAATGCCTGAAGGGAAATTTAACCCCGTGCTTTCCTATATAGGAAGTATAGGGTTTGGTTATTATCGTCCAGGTATCTGGAGCACAGATTAGTACAATTAAATAGAATAACGTTGATGTAAAACGGTGCCCATAAGTAACACTTATCCAAAAATAGTAATTGGCCCGCTCTAATAGCTGACGCATCTATACTTTCTGTATAAGAAAGAGTGGGGTTAAATTTCCCTTCAGACATCATTTAGCGATCATAGGGAAACAGACTACCCACAGCTCCTCGACTTAAAGGCTAGGGTGAAGACATCATTTGGAGTTCGTAAGAATCAGACAGATTTTAAGAGGAGAAGATCATCATGTAGACTTAGAAAGAATGCTGCAAAACCCATAGCTAAACCAACCAAGTCAATTGATTCTTGACGTTTTATACACAACGTGAAGTTAAAGTTAGTTCCTAATTGACTGTAGTGTCACAATAAAGATTAAGATTATCGGAATATGCTGCAGGTCAAGGATGGGGGTTGGGATGGTCTAGTAGTCTAGATTGTCGCGCTTTGGGCTCTAGCTGACCGATTACCTCTGGCATGCGGTCGTGGTTTCGATTCCTGGTGTGAGCGAATGTGGCTTGGAGATAGGAGCGCCTTCTCCACCTCCCATTTACTCCAGGCATTCCGGTTTTCCCCCACAGAAAAGCGCCTGTGCGTGGAAGCGGATGTTAAACACTAATAGGTATTGTCACGGAATTAACATTGAAGTCAGCGTGGAGAGAATTCCAACTCCGACTTACGTTTATCTCCCTTTTACCTGGAGATGTGTTTATAAACTTATTGACCTTGAATCATCAGAAAGAATAATCTTTCTGCCAGGTATTGGAAAAAATCCGTCATATTCACGTGGAACGATCAGTGCGTAAGCAGGGTGTGATAGTGAAATACCCTTCGAAAAGATTGATACGGCTCTATACAGCAAAAAAGTCCCTTTCAAGATTTTTACCAGCTAATTGTGACATGTTAGGCTATTTGTAAATATTGATATTAAGATCTCCATAAAAGAATGTAGACTAAAACATTATCAGGGCGTAACACAGAAAGCAAGTGGGGAAAATTACTAGCCTTGTGAACAACCAACCAGTTTAAACATACAAGCATGGAGTTAAGTCCCTTCTATCTCAGCAGCCGTGTGTTTACTGCATAAGAAAAGTAGCCAGCTGTCTGTGGCAATAAATATTAGCGTGGTAAGGTCTATTTAATGCCATCACACGCACGCCTTACTTCATCCTAATTATAAAACCCCATCTCGTTTGATATTCTGATTCTAAAATGGTCGGAAATTAAATAATTGTAACACTGTAACAATTATGAAGTTATACCTTAATGCAAATAGTTTGAATATTTTTATTTTAAAGATGCATTATGTAAGATTTAGATAAAGAGTTGGTTGTTCTTTCTATAAAAGTTCAAACATAGACAATAAAAAATTGAATATATTGATAACTTCAGTCAAATTACTTTATTCTGTGCAAAATCACGAGTGTTTGAATATGTAGCGTATATAGATCGTTTATTATCGCAGCAACGGAACAATCAAGAGTAAGTCTCCATTATCCAGTTTATCGTTGAAATTTTAAATCTCGGTCATCCAACATCCAATGGTCTAGATAACAAACCTCATCTCTCAACCCTCCGTGTTTCGGGATAAGAGATGGTGCTATATAGTTCCGCGTAGCAAAGCCCAACGCAAATCACATCGGGCCTCAGTAAGCAAAATTGACAAGTTTAATTAGTCATAATAGAATAAATTTATCTTATTTTTAAGATGTTACATGCATTAATAAAAAAATTGAATTTGCCACTTGGAACTAAAGGCACCTAATCGTAGCTAAAAACAAGCACATATATCTCAAGGTTTTTAGCTACGTTCTCGAGCTCGTAGCTACCGATGTACTAGGGAGTTGATTATAGGGTCGTCTGGTGAATAAATGTCTAAATAATAGTTTATATAACATTTTTAAGCCAATAGGCACATTTATAGCTTACCTAATGCATCTTTAAACTAAATATTTAAAACCCAATGCTGTTGTAAAACAAACAGCTGTCACAGTGTAATTCTGTGAATATTAAATTCAATTTGTTTTTAATACTATATATTTGCAGTCCGCTGAGTATCTCAATAACAATACAACAAGTTTTCTCATTTGAGACTAAAACAAATTATTGTTTAGTCCGTTTGGGGCAACTATCTGGAAATCTTTTTGTTTGTAGAAAGCTGGCTTTTCGTGTTATCCGAATAATTAGGCCCATTTTAAAGGATAAGGTAGCAAATTGGGTGAAAAATCTACTTTTATGAAATTGAAACCGTCTGACATGTTCGTAATCTTAATGAGTATTGAATACTTACCGTTCCGAGTAATCCTAGTATAGTACCTATCAGTCTAACATGCCATGATTTATATCGCATCTCCAAATACTGAAATAAAACAAACAAATAACAACTAGGTTTTTTCTCTTTCAATTTTACAGATTCATCAGTTACATATTCTGATCCCTGGACACCGTGGTTAATTTTCTACTCCATACCTAGTTTATGCTTTTGAAATCCAGGTTCACTTTAGTTAACTATACAGAGTGGTGGGTGTCGTGCTCGAGGACGGGTATTTAGAACACCTGTTATCTCTTTACGGGTGATCGAGGAGAAGTCTGTTGATTGGACTACTTTGGTGTTTACTTATTATATCCTAAACGAGGATCATATTTCGTTTCGTGTTTTTATTGTTCAAATATCGTTTAAAGGAGGCAGGTCTGTAACTCAATATCATGATGGGCTTTTGATATCCAATATTTAAGACAAAATGAGAATTTTAAAATTGGCACATGTATGAGCAATGAATACTAGACTGGAATAACCAGACGCCAAAGACTGCCATTTAAGTTGGACTCTACCCGTATTTCGCCGATCATAACTGATTAGAAATATTTACAGTAAAACAAAAACGATTGAAATCAGATTATATACATTCATATTACATTATTATATGCGCTGCTATCCATTTATGTCCATTTCTAGGTCCCAGAGATTTAGCTCTTTTAAAGTTGCAATTTCATATTTTTAAGTTATATTTTTAAGTTATATTTTTAAAATTTATTAAAATAGATGGTATCTATAAACAGTCCTACCTTTGTTAAAGAATAATCCTATTAGTCCTATAATTCACTATTGCCAGATGAGAAATTGGCAAAAATATCATTTTCATCGACAAATTCAAACGTTTGAAGTTAGCTACTCCATAGTGGAGAATATAAAACAAGGGAGGTAATTGGGAGGTAATTGTGTTTTTATTTCCGGTGTAAATGAGTTTTAAGTGTGAGAATGACACCTATGATCGTATAATAGTGAGTTGACAACCTATTAAGCAAAAGACATAGAAATAATTGTGTTTTGACTTTCTTAGAAAATATGAAATTGTAACTTTAATGTATTTTCACTACATCTAAATCTGAAAGAGTTTTGAATTAATCAGCATTCTATTTAATGTCGGGGATTAGCCATTGAAATGGCATGTTTAGCTTAACTTTGTTCGAGTTGTCCATGGAATTCTGGGAGACAACCCACAGAGCAGTAGAAAACAGAAAAAAAACAATAGTTAATTATACATATCCCACGCAATTTAGCTTAAGTTCACCCAAACTGGTCAGGTCTTTACGGAACGAAGCATATCAAAGTATTAGAATAACGAAACGAAATTTTATTCAGATTGTAATTTAGATTCAAGAATATTAAAATATAAATTACGGAAAATTGCCATCAGATCAAAAACACCACACTATAAAATTATTTAAAATACAAAACTGAATAATTGCTTTACTTTTTTTATAAACAGCTGTTATACTATAGTTCAAAAATATTACTTTTATTGATCTAAACGTCGTTTGATTAAAATTACCCAATATTGACAAGGGATCACGTGGCTAAGTGGGTAAGAGTCTGGCTTGCTAGCCTGGAGGTCGGGTATTCGATCCCTGTTCATCCAGATTTTCCGGCGTGGTTCCCCCTTGTCAGTGATGCAGGACGCAGGGTCTGACAAGGACAGCTGTCTAGTCGTTCGGATGGGACGAAAAACCGAGGTCCCGTGT